AATATTCCAAGAACTGGTTCTTAGAAAAGATAATAAGTTTGACAAAACTTTAACCAGAGTGATCAAGAAGAAATGAGTTGTCCCCATTAAATAAAATTGGAACAAGAGAAGTAACAAATGACAAGAAATACAAAGAATTGTAAGAAAATATTACAAACAACTATGTGCCAACAAATTGGACAACCCAAATGAAATGGATGAATTCCTAGAAATATACAATCTTCCAAAACTAAATCAGGGAGAATCAGAGAGTCTACATAGACAGATTACAACTAGTGAAATTGAAGCACTAACAAAAAAATTAAAAACAAACAAACAAAAAAACCCCAACAAACAAAAGCCCTGTACAGGATGGCTTCACAGGCGAATTTTATCAAACATTCCAAAAAGAACTAACACTTCTCATATAATTATTCAAAAAATTGAAGAGGAAGGAAGATTCTTAAGCTCATTTTAAGAGGTCAGTATTATCCTAATTCCAAAACCAGATCAAGACACTAAAAATAAAGAAAATTACAGGCCAATATCCCTGATGAACATAGATGCTAAAATCCTCAACAGAATATTAACAAAATGAATACAGCAATACATCATAAAGACCATACACCATGATCAAGTGGGATTTATTCTGAGGATACAAGGTCAGTACAATATTTACAAATCAATAAATGTGATATACCACATAAACACAATGAAGGATGATCATGATCATATGAATAGATGCAGAAAAAGCATGTGATGAAATCCAATACCCATTTATGATAAAAACTCGCAGCAAAATGGGAATAGAGGGACCATACCTCAACATAAAGACTATATATGACAAACCCACTTCCAGCTCAATGGGCAAAAACTATGAGCATTCTCCTTAAGATCAGGAACCAGACAGGAATGTCTGCTTTCACCTCTATACAGTGTAGTACTGGAAGTCCAAGCCAAAGCAATCAGACAAGGAGAAGAAAAGACCCCCAAATTGGAAAGGAAGAAGTAAAACTTTCATTAGTTGCAGATGACATGATACCATATGTAGAGGACCCTAAAGATTCCACCAAGAAACTACTGACTGATAAATGAACTCAGTAAAATATCAGGATACAAAATTAATATCCAGAAATCTGTTGCACTTTTATATGCCAATAATGAACTACCAGAAGGGGAAATAATGAAAACAGTCCCATTCACAATTGCTTTAAAAAGAACAAAATACCTAGGAATAAATTTAACCAAGAATGTAAAAGATCTATGCTTGGAAAATTATAAGGCCCAAGAAAGAAATTGAAGAAGATACAAATAAGTAGAAACACATACTGTGTTCCTGGATAGGAAGAATTAACATGACTAAAATGTCCATACTGCACAAAGCAATCCATAAATTCAGTGCAATTCCTATCTAAATACCAATAGTGTGTTTTCCAGAACTTGAATAAATATTCCAAAAATTAATATGGAGCCACAAAATAAAACCTGACTAGCCACAGCAATCTTCGAAAGAAGAAGGTAGTTGGACGAGTCACACTATCTAATATCAAACTATACATGACCATTTTAATCAAAACAGCACAGTATCAGCATAAAGACAGACACATAAATCAATGGAACAAAACAACCCAGAAATAAAACAGTTTATAGTCAGTTAATGTTTGACAGAGGAAGCAAAAACACAGTGAGCTAAAGATACTTTATTCAATAAATAGTGTTGGGAAAATTAGATGTGTGCAGAAAAATGAAACTAGACCACTGTCTTATATGCCACACACAAGGGTAAATTAAATTGATTGAAGAGTTAAATGTTAGAATAAAAACCATAAAAATCTTAGAAGAAAACATAGGTGGTAAAATCCTGGACGTCGCTCATAGCAGTATTTTTTCTGATAAATCTTACCAGGTGAAAGATGCAAAAGAAAAAGTAAACTAATGGGACTACACCAAACTAAAACATTTTTTCACAGCAAGGGAAGTCATTAACAAAATGAAAAGACAACCCACTGAATAGGAGAATATATTCACCAATACATCTGATAAAGGGTTAATATCCAAAATTTAAAGAACTTATAAAATTGAACACCAAAAAATAAATCCAATTAAAAAATGGGCAAGGGACCTGAATAGACACTTCTCCAAGAGGACATCCAGATGGCCAGTAGACATATGAAAAAGTTGCTCGATGTCACTGATCAGAAAAATGAAAATTAAAACTACAGTGAAATATCACCTCACATCTGTCAGAATGTCTATCATCAATAAACCAACAAACAACATGTGCTGATGAGGAGGATGTGGAGGAAGGGGAACCTTTTTGCACTCATGGTGGGAATGCAGATTTGTGCAGCCACTGTGGAAAGCAGTATTCAGTAACTACAAAAAATTAAAAGTGGAACTGCCTTATGACCCATCGATTCCAATTCTGGGAGTTTATCTGAAGAAACCCAAAACACTAATTCAAAAGAATATAGGCACCATTATGTCCGGTACAGTGTTATATACATAGCCAAGATTTAGAAGCAGCCCAGGTGTTCATCAGTAGTGTGGATAAAATAGCTATGGTACACCTACGCAATGGAATACTACTTGGCCTTTAAAAAAAGAGAAAAGTTTACTCTTTGTGACAGCATGGATGGACCTGGAGAACTATGCCAAGTGAAATAAGCCAGTCAGAGAAGGACAAACATCATGTGATTTCACTCATATGGGGAATCTAAGGAACACGCTGAATTTACAAGCAAAATAGAGACAGACTCATAGAAAGTAGGCTGGCAGCTCTGGGGTTGGGGCAGGGTTTAGGGGTGGAGTCATGGAGCAAAAATTAAAGAAGACAAGTGTGGTGATTGTGGGGGGGTTTGGGTTGGGTGGAGGTGGAAGAGGATATAATAGGGATAAATGGTAATGGAGAAAATAAAAAATAAACTAAAAAATAGTTCTATCGAAGAGGAATATGATTATAGAAATTGCATTCTTAGTGTATAGAAGTTTTATATCTGCCTTCTCTGATATGAGCAGTAAGTTAAGGATTCTTAGTCCTTGAGTAACTTCCACTGTTTTTGAGCTTACCTTAATGTAGATAATTCTGCTTCTCAGCTATCCTTCAGGTATTTATTTTGTTGATTTTTAGCTTCTCACATGAATGTTCCCTCCAGTGGACAACCCATGAAGAACTGACCCCCTGGGTTTTTTTCTCGACTCCCCCTTTTTCTTTCTCCACTTAATTATTTGTTATACCAACAGCATTCAAACACAAAAACTGTACTATAGTTAGTAACCCTAGACCATTTGATTAAAGGAGTGCCAGAAGGCCCTGCTCAACCTAAATATCTTTCCCCACTAACTTGCACGATGATGAGATTTGAGAGTTCAAGACTACCACAGATGAGAATTAGAGCCTCCTCTTAATATGCATTGTTACCTTATAAAGCAAGGGACATTTACATTTTAATTAGGAGCAGAGCAGGGAGGTCCTGAAGGCACAGAACACAGGGAAAGCTGGCCCTGTTGGAATAAGGAACTCCATGTATGGGAAGTAGAAAATCAGAGAATCAAAGGGAGCATAAGAGAAAGTGAGGAAATCAAACTTTACTGAGGCCCTCAGCTTTTCATTTCTAAATAATATAGCTGGTCCATTGAAAAGTGGTTAGGAATGATTTTTAAGTTCTTGATAAATGTTTTATAGTATGTATTCTTATGACTAGGTAATATAGCATGTTACTGCCAGTAACAGTTTATCTTTTTATTTGGAGTCTGCATTCTGACTGGCAGGTACTAGCTACTAATTTATAGGTTTATGCATAAACTGGTCTTCATGCATAGAAATATGTGTTGCCTAAAAAAATGCCTGTCATTTATTCAGGTACTCATTGAACAGATTCTCTGTGTTGTGTAACATAAATAAATAAATAGTCACATGGTATGTAAACTTAACCTTTAGCTAACTTTTAGTTAAAGAAAAAGATCTAATAAAATCAACTAGTTTGTTTTCTAAAAGAAATTTAGTTGGTTTGTTGCAAAATCCAGTTAAGTGATGAGGAGAAACTCCAGTTTATTAAGGGTTCTAGATTGAGGATTTTGTTGTTTTAAACTTTGTGCCATTCTTTTTGTGGGGGCAGGTTGTAAACATTTATTTCTGGTAGTAACTCCTATGGGCAAGGCCCCTCATTTCAACTTTTTAGAGGAAAGGTAAAAGTTTCTCCTCTCCAAATGAAATTTTAGTAATAAGATAAAAATCACAATTTTAAATCCTTTTAATTTTGTAAAAACTCAAGAAAAATAAGGTTTTAACCAATTCACTTGCAGTAAATCAAACACATTCTTAGTATACTCTAAAAAACTGCAAAATGTAATACAGCTTACAAGAGTGGTTACAGTTTTATGTTTGTAATATTGATCTTATTTTTTTAATTGTTTTATTGTCCAAGTACAGTTGTCTGCATTAACCCTCCCTGTGCTCCTCCGACCCCAGCCTTCTCCACCTCCCTCCCCTGATTCCTTGGTTTTGTCCATGAGTTCTCTATACTTGTTCCTGAAAACCCTTCCTCTCCATTATTTCCTCCCACCTCATCTCTGGTTACTGTCAGATTGTTCTTTTAAAACCATAAATGTTCACAAATAATCACTGACCTAAACTGACTTTTATTCTTTTTTTTTTTGTCCTCTGTAACTTAGTTGAATACAATAAGGCAGTGTAAACACAAAACAATTTTTCAATGAATATACATTAATTTATATTTTTCTGAATCTAAAAGCTTTAAACTGCTTTTGGTTCATTATAGAACAACACAAAATAACCTAAAATGAACATTTTATTAATTTGTGTATGCTGTTGGTAACATTGGCATTTCTTGTGTCTGCAAAATACTATTCTTAGCCATTGAGAGAATTTAACATTATTTGCAAGAAACCTTATATACACTAAATGAAAAAAATTGTTTCCAGTCTCTTTAATTGCTTCAATTTAGTGTATTTGGAACATATTTCTTTCTTTCTCCAAACTAGTCTTAATGGTTTTACAGAAATTCTGGAAGATAATGTGCTCTTAGTTGAGCTTTTCGACTCTCTTGGTGCTCCTGGAATGACTCCTACTAGTATTAATGACCTGCTGGTCAAAGAGGGCCTAGCATCTCATGAAGTAGGGTAAGTAGACCTGTGAATGTTTATTTTTAGTTCATATGTAATACTTTATTCACAGGAAGGGAAATTGACACAGCATTCCCCTTTGGATATCTACTTGGGTCATAGGTGGGCGTTTTTTTCTGTTGATGGGTCAGGAACAATAATTGAAGTCATTAGTCTAATGGGGACTACAGTGGCTTTACACTCTATCCCTAAGGAATCCTGAAATGATGAGAAAGGTTCCTGAAGATTGAGGATGCATGTTAGAAAAAATACTGACATTTTATTTCTAGATAGAATATCTGCTTAGGCATTCTCTTATACCTGTGTGAGAAGATAATTAGAGAAATGGCAGGGTACAGAATAAGTGTACTGGTAGAGTACCCTATATTCCCATTTGGAGAAATGTACATTTTTCCTGGGTTCAAGTGGATAACTTAAAAGAGAACCAGGCTTGAGCCATTGCAGTAATACCCAGTACCGGCCAGAGGTTGAGACCACCCAAAAGCAAAAAGGAAGGGTAGTGGTGAGGAAAGGTTGGGAGGGTTTGAACTCAAGACAAAGCAATTCTTCCATGATAGGGACTTGTGCAGTGGGGTAGTCCTTGAGGGATCTTCTGAAGAACTGCCACATATAGCCCTCAAGAAAGCAAATATTGTCTGTCAGAGTAAACCAGAGAAGCAGTGACACCAGCAGAGTCTTGCAATCATGTGCTCAGCATCTGGTCTTGTTTCCGTCCCTACCCTAATACTGGAAGAGCTAGTAGCAGAATAGAGAGGGCCTGTCCTGTATCCAGTATAGGTCCTAAGTGAAGGAGAGAAAGAGGTGAGAGGAAACACTAAAATAGATTAGATTGAGTTTTTTTTAAGTCAAAGTTATTGAGATATAACATATGCAATAAAAATTCACCCTTTTTAAGGTACACAGTTACGGACTTTTATAAACATGCATGTACATTGATTTCTGAATTTTTTTTAATTTACTGATATTTTAGAGGGGGAGGAAGGGGAGGGGGGAGAGAGAGAAACATCAATTTGTTGTTACATTTATTTATGCATTTATTGATTGATTTTTTTAAATCCTCACCTGAGGACGTGCCCATTTTAGAGAGGGGAATGGAGGGAGAGAAACATCAGTGTGAGAGAGAAACATCAATCAGTTGCCTCCCATTTGTGCCCTGATTGGTGACTGAACTGCAACCTTTTGGTCCACAGATTGATACTCCAACCAACTGAGCCACACCAGCCAGGGCCATTGGTTGATTCTTGTATGTGCCCTGACCATGAGATCCAACCTGCAATGTCAATGTATTGGGACATTGCTCTAACTAACTGAGCTACCTAGCCAGGGCTATGCATGTACATTTTAAATATCTTCAAATTTCGTATATCGGTTTTATCTCAGTAAAGCTAATATTTTTTTTAATTGTCCATCTGGTCATAAAGTACAGTTAATACACAGTAGAAGATAACATTTATGTGTCAAGCTGTGAACGTGCCCTCAGTTACTCATCAATATTAATATTGTTACATGGACATATAAGTCAAATAATTAAATTGTTTTATTAATCTAGTTGTAGCCAAAAGTTAGAGGCACAGTTCTTTCTTGGCCATAGAACCTTGTATTTCTTTGAGTTAAGCTGTCAGCTAGTTCTCAGAGTTCATGTCAAGAGGACAGAAAACAGTCTAAATTTAGCAGCAAAAATTATTCACTTTGGGTAGTTAAATCTCAAATTTATGATGAAAAAAATTAAGTTTTTTCCTTTATAAAAATAGAAAATGGTATCTAATTAGCTGTAGTTAGACTCTGAACTAATCTGATTTAATAAACATTCTAAACTTTTTTATAATAATTTTGCTCCTTAACACCTTTTAATAGCTATTGTTTCCCACTTGTATTCTCATCACCATACACTGATAACTTTTTAGTCATAGAGAAATATTCAAGTTATCAAAAAAACTGAATAATGCTTCTCCTTTGTTTGTATAAAAGCAATGGGAAATGATGAAATCAGCAGCAAAGTTGGTATTTTAAATTGTTTTTAAGATATAAAGGTTGTCTTTTAGGTTTTTCTTCTTGTGCTTACTTTGGTGGTATTTAAGAACTCTTTTTTAAAAAAGACTGAAATTGCTATCATATCAAAACTGGGAAATAGTGAGTCATAGTTAAAACTCATTTATCTCTAGATCTATAAGGAAATGCAAACATATTTTTCAAAGTAATCTTTTCACTAATGGGTTTTGTTATTTTTCAGATACACTATCAAAGATAATTCCAAAAAGTATACTGAAGTGTGGGATCCTTCTCCAGAAGAAATTATTTCAAAGGAAGTAAACAGCTTAAATTCTGTGTCTGCAAAATCTCTACCTAATGAGAATCTTCAGTCACTTTATGATAAGGAACTGCCTGTGCATATCTGTAATGTAATATCTCCTGAGAAGATTTATGTTCAGTGGTTATTAACAGAAAACTTACTTAATAGGTATTAGATATAAAGAAAACATATAATTGGGGTGGGTGGCAGGGGTGGGGAGAAAATGCAGACAACTGTAATTGAACAATAATAAAGTAAAAAAGAAAACATTGCATATGGTTTTATTTTTTAATATTTTGTTTCAAAGAACATCATAAATGTAGAATTTTAAAAGTAGCAACATTATTTCAGCTAAGTAGTCTACTTTTAAGTATACAAATAGTATCTTTACCAGTTATTTTCACTTTATTAGGATTTGTTCATTCCACAGATGCTTATTGAGCATCTGTTATTTGATAGCCAGTGTTTTAGATCTTAGGTTACAGTAGGTAAAAACATGGACAAGTCTTTGCTGTCTTGGAGGTTAAATTCTAGTGGAGGACAAAACAATGAACAAATAAAGTATTTAGTATAGCAGATGCTGATAAGAAGAGAAAAATAAAGCAGGTGGGTAGGAGGACAATTTTAGGATAATCAAGGAAGACCTCACAGAGACAGTAACATTTGAAATGGATCCTGAAGGAGGAGAGGGCATGAGCCATGAGAATATCTGGGGGATAAAGGGAAGAGCTAGTTTAAAGACCCTACAATGGAAGTAGGCTGGGTAGTCAAGGAAGAACAAGGCATTCAGTTGGGCTGGAATAGAGTGAGTAAGGGAGGACAGTAGAAGACATGTGGTCAGAGGATTTTATGTCATAAGAAAAGTTTCAGAAAGTTAAAATATTTTTTCTTTACATAGTTTAGAAGAACAGATGGTAGCTGCTTATGAAAATTCAAAATGGGAACCTATTAAATGGGAAAATGATATGCACTGTGCTGTTAAGATTCCAGATAACAATCTGTGGCGAAGAGGCCAGATCATCAGGATGGTTACAGAAACATTGGTAGAGGTAAATGCAGAGTTAAAAATATAGTCATGAAAGTGAATGTATTTCATATTTTTATCCTGGATTTATTTAATCTAATTTTTATTAAGCTTTTCATTTGAAAAAAAAATTTTGAAGCGTTTTCTTTTCATTGAATTAAAGTTATTGTTTTCTTAGGTCTTGCTATATGATGTGGGTGTTGAACTAGTAGTGAATGTTAACTGTTTACGAGAACTTCAAGAAAACCTAAAGACAATGGGAAGATTATCTTTGGAGTGCTCTCTTGTTGATATAAGGTAGTTTTTATCTGAGTAAATTTTCTCATTATTGAATGTGATTTTAAATATTTTTCTTTTGGGATGGGTTCTTATCAGTTTCTATTTTGCTAATGTTTTCTGAAATTTTCATAAAATCTAGTTAATTTTAAGGTTTTAAGGAGAAAGATAAAAATTTGGAGCACATGAATTTTTGTGGTATTAAGGAAATAGAAGTAGGTAAATATGACAGGTATCTACATAAAATTCAAAATGTTAAATACAAAAAACAACTTGAGGAACAGAGGCATGTAGAAATAAAATGTATTTCACAAGCATAGGATTGTATGGAAAGCTAAAAATGTGTAAATTACCAAAACGACTGTGTTAGAGAGAATTCTAGGAAAGTGGCATGGCATGGTTTTTGAGTCTGCCAGAATCCTACCAAAAACACAGAGAACTGTGATAGCAAAATTTTAAAACTACACAATCAACATCTACAACAAAAGTAGGCAAATACAAGCAGATGTGGCACACAGAAATCAACCTGTATGATGTCAGCAGTTGTGTGAGAGGCATGTGGAGAAAAAGCTGTTTGAGCTGCTGACACAGCTCAAAAGGAATTGGCACAGCGTTTCACTGGAGCATGCAGGCCAGCAACCTGAACTGAGAAGGGAGTGACTTTGTAGTTAGATGCCAGAGACCTGTTTATAATGCGCCAATGCCATGGAACCTCTCAGCTATCTCAGTTCTTACCCAGGACTCCACACTGAGGAGAGGCTGCTGGGAAAAGAGCCTGATTTGAACAAGACATTCAGTGGGGCAAAGAAAAGACAGAATATCAAGTGTGAGGCCCCATTTTCTGTCACTTTGAGAAAACAACATAAGAGAACTATGAAACTAGAAAAGCAGTATGATCTACCCCTTTCTCCTAAAAGCACAGGAAATTTTATTTCGTTTAAAATATGAGCAAAAGCAAAGGTTATGGTTGAATTCCATGCAAATTATTATGAGAAAGAATAAGGAGCCAAATACTATCTCTAGAGGCAGTGTAAATCCACCAGAAAAGCATACTCACAATAAACAGTAATCCAGTATTGCAAAACAAACAAAAAAAATTTGAAAGTTATAGACATTGTGGAGAGCAGTATAAAACAATTAGAAAAACTCACAAATAAGATTTATTACAGAAAAAGGAAGCTTTGAAAAAAGAGATAACACTCAAGAAAGAATTAGAAATAACAGAGAATCTTACAGAAGTGTACACTAAACTAGAAAAACACAAAAGCAAATACACAATAATGTCTTAATAGAAATACAAGATAAGGACATTCTTTAATTTAAAAAAAAATCAAAGGATTCAAAAGAAGACAAAAGATATCTAAAAGAGACCAAAAAAAATAAAAAGACTCAACATACCTGTACCAGGAATTTCAAAGAAGAAAACTAAAATAGAACCAAATACTAAAAACCCAAAAGTGTTTCTAAAATAAAAGATTATTTAAAACTATATAATGAAAGAATACACCATATAGCTTGGAAAATCAGGACATGGAGGGATTATCTAGTAAAACTGTTGGCTTTTGAGAGGAATAAAATCACACCATCATCACCACTGTATACCATAACATAATGCAGTAACATTTTTTTAAATAAAAACAAACAAACAAACAAACAAAAACTGGCAAGCCATGAGTTTATGTCCAGCCAAACTGACCTTCAGGATGAAGACCACAGACAAACTTACATGACCACTCAGGAAGTATTGTTCCTGAGGAATCTGTAAGAGAACAAGCTTTAGATAACAAGACATAAGAGATTTTGAAATAAGGACTGGTGATGAACATTAACATTTATTTTACCTCAGAACTGTGATTAAGGAAATAGTATAGCATGCAAAGTAGATATAGCACAACTTCAAATATGGGGAAGGAAAGGAAAATATATATGAAAACTTGAATAAACTTGCTGTTTGTCTAATTGGTATTCACTAGGAGTAAGTGCTTCAAATAAGATGTTAGGGGAAAGTGAGAAGAGGTTACTAACAATACACTGATTTAATATTGGATTTATGTTAATATTTTATGTAAACAAATCAGTAAAATTGTAAAGAAAATTAAATTCACTTTGTCTACATAGTGGTGGCATAGCCTTTCAGAGAGGAACTTCTCCAAAAGACTTAAAACACATTAAGTAGACTTAATACATTCTTACTGGAATATATTGTAAGGACAAAAAAGTAACTCTCCCCACTGCCTCCATCAGTTGTTTTCATTACTTTCACTACAGTGGGTTGTAGTGTTACAGAAACTACTCTTGTGTGTATTGTGGGGTAAGTCAAAATAGGAATTATGTACTTATTGTAAGAACTGGTGTGGTAGACAGATGACAGAGGTGTAAAAGTACAGCTAATTTACCTTGTACTCCTGATTTTGAATTAGAAGTGTCAATAGAAACTCTTGAGGTGGTATAATTGTAAGAAAAAAATGCATATTTTTCAGCCTTGTAACATGAAGGCCCCAGTCACAATGAGCTTTGCTGGAAGCAGGTTGTGGCCTCCAAATGCCATTTCCCATTAACAGAAATTCCTGCTCTTTGGAAAAATGTCTGGTTCTAGGTCTGGGATAGGAAATGCACAATAGAAAAAGCAAGAAAGCTGTAAAGAATTATGGATACCCTGGCTGGTGTGGCTCAGTGGATTGAGCACCGGACTGCAAACCAAAAGGTTCGATTCCCAGTTAGGGCACATGCCTGGCTTGCAGGCCAGGTCCCCAGTTGGGGGCATATAAGAGGCAACCAATTGATGTTTCTCTCCCTCTCTCCCTCCTTCCCTTCCCCTTTCTCTGAAAATAAATAAATAAAATCTTAAAAATAAAGAATTACGGAGATTATAACAAAGGGATTTAGCCAACCTGAGTAAAATTCCTGACTAAAGATAAGACAATGTGAGTATCAGTAGAATAATTGTATAAAAGTATTTGATGTGTTTAAATCCCTAAGTTTATAAAGTGATTTAAAAAAAACAACTCATTGTTTACCTTTAGAGGATTTTAGGGAACCACCTCTTTATCCTCAAAACTGGTAGATAAGGGGAAAGAGCTTTTTGTCTTGTTTTTCCTTTACAATTATATTTCAGCTTATAAAGTTGTTTTTTTATAAGTATTCTCACCAAGGAAGAATGATAGCATTAAAATGGCACCATTTTTTAACCATAGTAAACAAAGGAGGGAATCTAGGTGAGAGTTACCAGTTCTGCTAATATCACAAAAAGAGAATCAGACATTGTGTACCTCATGTTGGAAGTGCCTGTAAACAATGTTACTGCAAAAAGAAAATGCAAGCCAGAATTTGATCAAGACTCTAGATCTCACTGTGAATTCAGAGGAAATACAAGGAATGTGTTAAACACTATGGCAATGTAATCAGCTAAATACAGACCATAGAAACTGTAGAACAAATGACTGGGTTTCTTCAACAGAAAGTTACAAGAGAAAGAGATGGAAAGGGGCACTCAAGATACACATCAACCATTCATGATGTGTGGTCTTTGTTTACTCTACCAATTAGGACTGGTTTGAAACATCAGGAAAAAATGAGTATCATCTGAATGGTTGATATTAAAGAATTATTAAACCTTTTAGATGTGATAATACTGTAGTTATGTTTCTTAAAGGCTTTGTATTTTGGAAATACAAATTAAAATCTTTTCAAATAAAATGTTATATCTGGGACTTCATTAAAATAATCATGGATGGGAGTATGTGGGAGTCTAAATGAAATAAAATTGATCATGTATTTGTAACTGGTGAAGCTGAGTGATAGATACATCAGATTTATTTTATTCATTCTGCTTTTGAATATGTTTGAAAATTACCATAATAACTTTTTAGAGGCAAATTCACCAGATTTTAAAGAAAATATTCAATACTATTCAGCTATTAAGAAAAACCTGTAAATAAGATATAGCTTAAATAAGATATAGCTTAAAAGTGTATAGAAAAATACTGTTTTGAGTAGATCATTTAAGAGGAAAATGTTGGTTTGGTAAAACTCAATATAGTTCTTCATAGATCTCAGTGCTGACCTGCATTTTATGGTTTTCCCAGGCTAGAAAGGAGTCACAGGAGCACTTAGCATGGGAATATATTACCCTCAGACTTATTTTTGAAAAATAAAGTAACAAATTCTTGATTCTGGGAGACCTTCCTTCAGTGATAAATCCATAGCAATAACATCATAGTGTCTTTGTAACAAGAATTATAGAATCTTAGAGTTGGAATCCAAAGACCATGGAGGCATCATGACAGTAATTTCCTTATACTAGTCCTAATAAATGAACATTGAAGACCTGCTTGAAGACTTCCAGTACTACGGAGACTATTCCTCAAGGGAACTTGCTAGTATCTCCTTACACTACACTGAAGTTTGTCTCCTCATATCTTCCACACATCCTCATTTTACCTCAGAATAAACCTCTTGACTCTGTTAACCATCAGATATGGAAAGGTGGATATTGCATTCCACTAAGACTTCTTTTTTCTTCCAGGCTATTACAGTTTTTTCAAATAATCCTAAAATAACATGATTTCTATGTTTTCCTGCTTGCCTTCTCTAAATGTTTTCTGGTTTAAGTTGGAAGAATTACTTCAGGTGTATTCCGAGCAGATCTCACTAAAACTATAAATGTGATTCTGATCATTACATTTGGTTAGCATTGCAAGTTTGAATTTGTATTTTGTGGAGGTGAGTCAGGTTGAATTTCTGAAGCAGTTTTCACTGAACTTGCATTAAGCTTGTAAATATTACTTAAAAACCCAGTGCTGTGAGCTGTATGTAACTCCATTCAACTTTCAGTTTTACTGAATAATGGTAGTATAGAAAAGCATCCGAGTACATCAATCTCTATTCATTTGTGGACTCTATCAGAATAATCATGCCCTATCTCCTCTAAGGGGAGATATCGCCCGTTGAAACAAAACAGAGTTTACAGCCAAAAACCCAGCACTGAGCTAGAGGGCAGGACAAGCTGTGATGTCCTTACACAGGCTTTCCACTTAGAAGGGGTTCCATAGGAGGGACACCTGCTTTTCTTCACTGGAGCTTATTAGGAAACCATACCTTTTTATACACTTAAATCATTTTTTTCACCAAAATATAGAGGTTTACATTTATTCCTGTCAGATTTCATCTACTTAGTTTTGAAATTCAGATTCCATTATTTAACATCTAAGCTGTCCTTTCTGATACATTAACTGGAAATTTAAAAGCATATCTCTATGTCAGAGGTTGTAGTTTCCAGAGTCTGGGCCAAATCCTGGTAACAAGTACCATGTATCTGGCCTACAGAAAGTTTTTAAAATTTTGAATTACTTAATCAACATTTTCTTAAAAACCAGTAGGTGCCATATAAATATTTGAATTTCTAGCTCTGTTGACAAAAATCGGAATATCTAGCTACTGAAGTAACAGTGTTGCTAAAGCTAATTTGCCTTCCCTCCAGAGGTTCAAGAGTCACTAGCTATTGCTGGGTAGGTCTTAGCTACTATTCATTATGGAGTATGAGATGTAATTTCACATGTGAGAAGGAGCTCCATCTTAATTAAAGCTGGGTAGGAGGATAATTTCCTTGTGCTTGATGTGTTACCCACAGTTATCCACAATGCAAAGAAGCTCTAGTTGGGGATTGTCTTATATTTTCTCCCTCACTTGAAGTAAATCCATTTAGTCAACTGCTATTATTTGGCTGAAAGGCATACATACATGTATGTGTGTACATTTTTCAAATATGGGCACAAATGGGAATATTACAGATCTGTTCACAAAGCTATAAGATCCCTAAAAGACCCCAAAGGCCTTTTCAACATTAAAAATCTTAATGAGCCATTTAAAGTTACAGGTTTAGCCAGCTTCTTTTTATCATACCTACAATGATCTCATCATTTGAATAGAGTGAACAAAAGGCTATGAAATGGGGAATAAAATTGTGGAAATAATAAAAGCCATGTTGAAATTAATTTCTCATTACATATGTAGTTGATTCAAATATATATGTATATGGTTATTGTTTTATATTTATATGCCCTATGCTGTTTGTTATAAAACAAGTTATTATTTTTTAGACCAACTGGTGGGAGTGACAAGTGGACAGCGACAGCTTGTGACTGTCTTTCATTGTATCTAACTGGAGCTGTAGCAACTATAATTTTGCAGGTATGCATTGGTATTTCAATAGAAATGTACTGATTATTTCATTGACGTTTTTATAATATTCCATTTATTTTCTTGTTGACAGAATAACAGCAAAATGATTTTTTTCCAAACTTCTTTTGGTCTTATTTCACGTTAAAACACCTGTTTGATAACAGATGTGATACAAATGATCATATGAATGAATCAAAACATTTCTAAAGTAATATTCTTGAGTTGATAATTTGCATGTTGCAAAAAAGAATATATGTATGCCAGAGCATATTTCTGAAGCCTTTTCATATTCTTTCAAACTGGAAACTTAATAGGGCTTCTAGTGAAGTCATAGTAACTGTCATAAAAAGTGTCTGTGACTATGGATTTGAGAAGAGGATATGTATAGAATATGTCTTTCTGGAACATTTAAGGACATTCTTTGCCTCTTTTACTTTTTTCTAATTTAATATGTTTTATTACATTAATGACTAGAATTTTCCTGTATAAGTAATTTTTTCCATGTTACTTTTTTCTTTCTATGTGTACTTTCTTCACTTTTATAATTTCTACGAAGCAGAATATATGCTTCATAGTTCTTTCCTTTCTGTTGCTTTTTGTAGGGAAAAAAAGGCACATCTGGGAAAATATGTTTTGATCTATGATTTGCAGAGTTTAGGACAATAGAGAACTTGTAACTGATGTGTATTCCTCCCCACCCTCTTTCTGGGGTTAAAAAAAAACAAAACAAAACACACACACACAAAAAAAACCTTGTTTTTCAACCTGTATTCCCCTGACCCTATTTTGATAAGTTTTGACAGTGAGCCCCTTCAGCTGCATTTTCAAGTCAGTGTCTATCCCCATTGACTCTCTTCCAGGCTGTCTTCTCTCTGATATATACATATATCAAAATTACTTGGCTGGGAGGTTTTTGTTTGTTTGTTTCTGGGTTGAAGTAATGTAAAGAAAATGCCCATGAAAAGTGTATTGTATAGATTTTATTTTTGTGTCTCTTACACTGCTTAAACCACCAGGAAAACAACATGGTATGGCCATTACCAGTGAAAATTTTCTGCAAAGATGAAAAAGGAGAGCGTGTTGATGTCTCTAAATATCTGATTAGAAAGGGTTTGGCTTTGAGAGAAAGGAGGTATGAACTTTTTTTCTTTACATCAGTTTGTGATGATGCTTCTTATTTGCCTGTGTAAATCTTCATGTCTGTGTGCTTTCAAATTTGAATTCATCTTGTTCGTTCTTAAAAATGATTTACAAACTAACCCTGAGGAGCCAGCTCAGAAACAGAGTCCTTCAGGATTGCCAGTTCCTTTATTTGAGCCCATCAGCTCTTGCATATTTAAACCCTTCTTTAAAATGATTTGTTTGCTTCTCTACTTTTCCCTTTGCTTTGGCATTTACACTCCAAATCAAAGAGAAGGAGATGAGGGGATGGTATAGTGGGTACCAGATCCACGCCCTTTGGCCTCATTTGCTTAGACAGAAATGTTTAAGTTTTATGTTGACAATTCTGGTAGGTATACACCAAAAATGTGTTTTTGTGAAACAAAAATATGGGTAACAAAAACCCTGTAATTGAATGATACTTACATTTAAAGATCCTTTGGGGAACTGCTTTTAGGGCTTAAGTACTTTTGGTCCACAGGGAGAAGGATCAGGATATTGCAATACCTCTAGCTTCCCTTCTCCTTCTAGATATAGAGGTCTATGTGAATTACTGACACATGTTCCAAGCAGCCACCTTCATGGTATGGTACCATGCATGGTACCATGCATGTACACATCTCTATTTTTTAAATCTTACATTATTATATCTTCCCTTATTTGGACCTGGGCCCCAGTCCTGATGAAATGGAAGGAGAACAAGAAATCAGAAGTGAAATAGGTCATGAGGTAGTTAGCCTGGCCTGGTGGGTGCTGCCCTAATGCTGGGCAGTGGCCTATGGCTACCTCTGTATCATTAGTCCCACGTGTGTCTCTCTTCTGGTTCACTGGCTTTAGACTAAAGCAATTCCTAATAAAAGAAATGTTAAAGAGAACAATACTGGGCAAGTTATTACCTCTGATAGATAGTACCTGCTTCTACAGCACTGAAATCACCAGCTGTCTCAAAGTTGGGGACTGTGAGGGAGCCCTGGGAGATGAGAAATTATGTAGTTATTTATAAATGTATATTTCCTTTTAAAAGAAAATATAGGAAAATAGAAGGAACAAAAATCTGCTATAATTCTGCTAAAATGAGCAATGTTAATATTTTCATCTAGGAATAGTACCATATTTTTAGGGGACTTACAGTATCTTTATGTACATTCATGTAGTATCTTATATGAATGTTGATAACTTGCCACATGTACATGTGGACTAAATCAGAATCAGTCTGAAGATGTTGTATTTCCCAATGCTATCTAATACTCATGAGTATTAGAAAATAATATACAAATGTAAAATATAAAGCATTTAAGTGAAATCATATTCCTTTTTATCAAACTCATTCATAATTTAAAATAATTTTTATTACAACTTAAATTATCCTTCTTTTCATGAAACAACCTAGACTACAGCAAATATTTTAAATTTCAAGTATATTAAAAGTATTCTGTTTAAACTGTTTTCTTCAGAATTTCTTATTGCTCATGTTTAGATGTATTTTTTTTTGGATGTTACAGAATTAATAAGTTAGACAACAGCCATTCATTATCTGAGAAGCCCCTCGAAATCCTCCTGAAACAAGAAGATTCAGTGGTTACTAAGAATATTAAAATTAACTTTGACTCTGACAAAAAAGCTTCTGATATTATCAGTGAACACAAGGTATCTGAATTTAAGGAGAAAATTATAGAACCAAGAACCCCTGGATGCTATAAACCACCAGTTATTCCCAACATGAAAGTATTTGAGGCAGTAGTTAGCTGCATCGGTGATGATGGAACTGTATTTGTGGTGCCTAAATTGTCAGGTAAGGTCTTTTATCTTGTAGGATTAGTCAGTATAAGTCCTAGTTTATACTGACTAGGATTAAGAGAGCAGCTCACTCTCTAGTAAGATAGACATGGATTGAAATACTTTGGACAATACTTAACTTCTTCCAACCTCATTTTCACTGTAGTATTGTGAGGGTTAGATTAAATAATGCATGCAAAGTGCTTTTCACAATGCCTAGAACATAACAGCCATTTACTGAGATATTGGGAATAGATGTTAGGCCTAAGATAAGCATAGGGGTGATTTCAGGTTCCACATGTCTTAAGTGGATAGGTCTTTTATATTAGGCACTCACACAAGTTTGGAGGCTCTCAGAGAAAAAAGAATACAAGAGTGTATATTCATCTAAAATGAGAAAAAACATCACCACAAATGATTGGAGGTTCAGGACCCTTTGAAGATACTTTGAAGATACTCAGGTCTTCTCTGAGATCTTGTTAGGCTTATGTACAAATTTTTCCTTTCTACAACTTAAGTGTATCCAGCAACTCCCAGCAACTCTAGCACTTACAGGACTTATAAACTCTTTTGGCTCCATAGTAAATCCACCTATAGATTAAGGGGATGGTGGCTATGAATTTGTTGAAATTTTTGTCTCATTTGTTGATTACTTTTTAATTTGAAAAACCAAATCTGTGCAGTTGGCTATTCTAGAACCAAGAAACCCTTTTGGAAGACGTGAACAATGTTTGAGACCTCTAGCATTAGTACTTAATCCAGACATGTATAGTCATAGCTAAAACTGCTTGACTATTATGTGTTAGGCAGTGTGCTAGACATTTTACATCTAATACCATACAAAACTGATAATGTGGGTAGGTGCCATTATACCCAGTTCACAAAAGAACAAACTGAGATTTATGGGGATAAGGGAACTACCCAAGATCATTCAACTAAAGTGGTAGAACTGTTAATGGAAACTAACTCCAGAGCTTGTGTTTTATGCTATCAGTTATGGGGATATGTATTTACTGTGGAAATAATGGGCCAATTAGCAGTAAGTAGCAACATGAGAATTTTAATTTTATATCCCAGCATTATGCCATATCTAAGCATCAAGTAACATAACTTGTCTTATATTTTACTTAGGTGTGCTAACAAAATGGCATATTAGGTTATCTGGTACATAATTAGAGTTTTTCATGATTCTTGGACTTCCAAAAGAATGATTGCATTTATAACTGAAGATCAAAATAATTACTTATATGCTGTTGCTCAGTTGTACATTTTGAAACGTAGAGAAGCTATAATAATTAGATTTTTGTTAAAGCTGTATAATGTAGGAACTGATTTTTAATTCTTTATAATATTATCTAAGTGATAAAATTATTAAAGGTTAATGACTTCATTTGAAATGGTGGGAAATTTTTCCTAAATACTTTCTATTTTTAATAACTTCTTCAGAATTTGAGCTAATAAAAATGATGAATGAAATTCAAAGTAATTTAAAATGCCTTGGTCTTTTGGAGCCTTATTTCTGGAAAAAGGGAGAAGCCTGTGCAGTGAGAGGATCAGACACTATGTGGTATAGAGGCAAGGTAATCGAAGTCGTTGGCGGCACTATCAGGGTGAGTCTGACATTCTTTTGTGGCTATTTTAAGACTAAATGCTATAACATTAAGTGGTCTTTTGAATCTAAATACATGAAAGTTTGATTAATATATATTTTAATGAGTTCAGCCCTGTAGGAAGACCAGTAGATGTATTACATGTTTGTTTGTAATAAGAATTTTTGTTTTTATTTTTTAGTATATTTATAAACTTGAGCAACCAAAAAAAAAAAATTCTTCCAGGTAGAAATTTGGACACTGGTGCTTTAATAGTATCACTTATTTATCATTGAAAGCCGTGTTTGTATACAGGATGTTAAGTCAAAACAACTTGTTTCCCAGTACATCACATATTTTCGTGGCTAATTTGTTTACAGTCCGGCTAATTTACCTGATCAGGATAATGGTTACCTCCAGAATACTGAGACACAGTTCTTGAGTTTCATGCAGTATCTTCAGAAAGAGCTTTGAAAAAACATGTGTATATAAATACATGTAAAAATACCTCCATTTTTAATAATGTATTTACTAAGTAAAGCAACTAACTCATGAGCAGTTCAGCACTTGAAAATTTCAATTTTAGGAGGGGAGAAAAAAGTCTTTTTTTTACTTGCATGGAGTTTATTATCTATTTGGTGATCATACCTAAAAATTACATAGCACTTATGGTGTTTAAGGGTCTTTCAAATACGTGCATTCATGTTTCATAATTTGTCTTTAACTTTCTTAAGTGTGGGTTATTTCCATTGTACTAATAGGATAATTGAAATTTAGCATCTCATTCCTAAATTTCTGATCTAAGGCTTGTGCTTTTTCTACTGGACAAGCTTTAAATGGTTGCAGTAGAAGTAAAGTAGTTTCAAATTTGGGGTATTTAAGCATGTGGATACTTACAGATTTATATGTTTATGTATAAATGAGTACATTTTCACATACAGTTGAATCATTTACACAGTCTTTCTTTAATTGAAAAGTGAACTGAAATTCACTTTAAGTTACCATAATTTATGAACTTTACATACATGGAATTCAAATAAATAAGATGGTGGCGAACTTTATTTTTTCTCATACTTATATCTGTTCTTTTTAAAATTTATTTCAAAGTATTGTCATACTTTAATCATCACTTTTATTTCCTGTGGTCATTTTTCATTTCAAGTATGCACAATAAACTTTTCATTCCTTAACCTGATATCTGTCAAAGTTTATCCTATAATTGACATTAAGAAATACATATTACATGAAACTGTATTCACCCTAACTACATTTAATATTCTCATTTTTCATTCAGCTCTATTCATTTTTTTTAATTTTCAGTTGCAGTTGAAATACAATATTATATTTATTTTAGGTGTAGTACATAGTGATATTTATATAATGTACAAAGTGTTCCCACTGATAAATCTAGTACCTGCTTGGCATTATATGTAGTTATTACAATATTATTCACTATATTCCCTGTGCTGTACTTTACATTCCTGTGATCCATTTCATTTTTTAATTTAATCTTTATTGTATTTTTTTCATTATTATTTAGTCCTTTTATACCCACTTCCCTCCAGCAATCACCACACTGTTGTCTATGTCCATGAGTTCTTTTTCTTTTTTGCTCAATCTTTCCACCTCCTAACCTCTGTGCCACCCAGTTGCTGTCATCTGCTCTCCATCTATGGGTCTGTTTCTGTTTTGGTTGTTAATTCAGTTTGTTCACTAGATTCCACATATGAGTGAAATCATATGGTATTTGTCTTTCTCTGACTGGCACATTTCACTTAGCATAATGTTCTTCAGCTCCATCCATACTGTTGCAAAGGGTAAAATCTTCTTTTTTATTGCCAGGTAGTATTCCACCATGTAAATGTCTCGTAGTTATTTATCCACTTGTCTACCGATAGACACTTGAGCTGCTTCCATATCTTGGCAGTTGTAAATACACTGCAGTGAACATAGGGGTGTTTATGTTCTTGTCAATTAGTGTTATGGGTTCCTTTGGATATATTCCCAGAAGTGGGATCACTGGGTCAAAAGGCAGATCCATTTTTAATTTTTTGAGGTATCTCCATACTGCTTTCCACAGTGGCTACACAAGTCTGCATTCCCACCAACACTGCAAAAGTGCTCCCCTTTTTCCACATCCACATCCTCACTAGCACCTGTTTGTTGATTTATTAATGATAGCCGTTCTCACAGGTGTGAGATGGCACCTCATTGTGGTTTTAATTTGCATTTCTCTGATGACTACTGACATTGAGAAACTTTTCTTTTTTTTTAACTTCAAGATATATTTTATTTACTTATATTTTAGTATATCAAATTTTATTGTATTTTTCCATGATCATTTATCTCCCTTATACCCTCCTCCACCACCAGCCACAACCCTCTCTCTCACAGTCACTACACTGTTGTCCATGCCCATGAGTTCTTTTTTTAATATACTTTATTGATTATGCTATTACAGTTGTCCCATTCCACCCTTCACTCCCCTCCACCCTGTATACCCTCTCCCACCCACTTCTCCCCACTTAGTTCCTGTCCATGTGTCATACTTATAAGTTCTTTGGCTTCTACATTTCCCATGCTATTCTTACCCTCCCCCTATCTATCTTCAACCTACAATCTATGCTACTTATTCTCTGTACCTTTTCCTTTTCTCTCCTCCTCCCACTCCTCTGTTGCTAACCCTCCATGTGATCTCCATTTCTGTGGTTCTGTTCCTGCTCTAGTTGTTTGCTTAGTTTCTTTTGGTTTTGCTTTAGGTGTGGTTGTTAATAATTGTGAGTTTGCTGTCCTTTTACCATACATGTTTTTCCTTTATCTTCTTTTCTTAGATAAATCCCTTTAACATTTCATAAAATAAGGGCTTGGTGATGATGAACTCCTTTAACTTGACCTTATCTGAGAAGCACTTTATCTGACCTTCCATTCTAAATGAAAGCTTTGCTGGATAAAGTATTCTGGGATATAGGTTTTTGTCTTTCATGACTTGGAATACTTCTTTCCAGCCCCTTCTTGCCTGTAAGGTCTCTTTTGAGAAATCAGCTGACAGTCTGATGGGAACTCCTTTGTAGGTTACTGTCCCCTTATCTCTTGCTGCTTCTAGGATTCTCTCCTTCATTTTTACCTTGGCTAATGTAATGATGATGTGCCTTGGTGTGTTTCTTCTTGGGTCCAACTTCTTTGGGGCTCTCTGAGCTTCCTGGATTTCCTGGAAGTCTATTTCCTTTGCCAGAATGGGGAAGTTCTCCTTTATTATTTGTTCAAATACATGTTCAATCTGTTGCTTTTCCTCTTCCCCTTCTGGTACCCCTATAATTCGGATGTTGGAATGTTTAAAGATGTCCTGGAGGTCCCTAAGCTTCTCCTCGTTTTTTTGGATTCTTATTTCTCCATTCTTTCCTGTTTGGTTGCTTTTTTCTTCCTTCTGGTCCACTCTATTGTTCTGAGTCCCAGTTTCCTTCCCTTCACTATTGGTTCTCTGTGCATCTTCCTTCATCTCTTTTATGGTAACCTGCATTTTTTCATGTAATTTGCGCCCAAAATCAACCAATTCTGTGAACTTCCTGATCACCAGTGTTTTGAACTGTGCATCTGATAGACTGGCTATGTCTTGGTTGCTCAAAAGGATGAGCCCTGGGGCATTGATCTGTTTTTCTGTTTGAGACATGTCTCTGTTTTTTGTTTTGTTTTGTTTTGGTTTGGTTTTTTTTGGTCTGGTCACTCCTGTTACAGTGAGGGACAGAGCCTTAGATGTTCACCAGGGCTGGGCACCCCAGTCGCTAGATTGTGACGTTGTATGTGGGGGCGGGGGCAGGGGGGAACAATGGTGGTAGCTCCATTCTCCTGGGACCTCAGTCCCTTCTCTGGGATCCTGGGTTGTGCGCTCTGCCCTGGTCCACAATTGCTGCCTCACTGGGTCCACCAGCTGCCGCTTGCGTACTCAGGGTCCACCCGCTGCGATCTTGCGCACCCCAGATGCCTTACGTGCCCCCAGTTGCCTTACGCACCCAACTCTCTCTACTCTCCTTGCGGCAACCTGTGCCGCGGCCCACGCCCAGCTGCTTGTCTCCGCCCCTCCTACTGGTCTGGATGAACGGGTCTACTTCAACTTCTTGGCTCTCCAACTTCCATTTAGATAAATTCTCTATCAGTTCTGGATGTTATTCTGCCTCTAAATTGTTGCTGTTCTAATCTTGGTTGTGCATGGAGGTACAGTGCGTCCACCTATGCCTCCATCTTGCTGGAAGTCTGAGAAATCTTTTCTTATGTCTGCTGGCCATCTGAATGTCCTCTTTGGAGGAGTATCTATTCAGGTTCTTTGTCTAGTTTTTAATTGGATTGGTTGTTTTTTTTTTGGTGTTGAGTTTTGTAAGTTCTTTATATATTTTGGATATTAACTCCTTATCAGATGTATTGGTGAATATGTTCCCCCATTTTATGCGTTGTCTTTTTTATTTTGTTGATGATTTCCTTTGCTATGCTAAAACTTTTTAGTGAGATGTAGTCCCATTTGTTTATTTTTTTCTTGTGTTTCCCTTGCCCAGGGAGATATATCTGATAAAAAAAATTGCTACAAGCTACGTCCAAGATTTTGCTGTGTTTTCTTCTAGGATGTTTGTTTTCAGGTCTAACATTTAACTCTTTAATCTATTTTGAATTTATTCTTGTGTGTGGTGTAAGAAGGTGGTCTAGTTTCATTTTTCTGTATTTTTCTGCACCTATCTGTCCAGTTTTCCCAATACCATTTATTGAATAATCTATCCTTAGTCCATTGTATGTACTTGCTTCCTTTGTTGAATATTAGTTGACTATAAAGATGTGGATTTATTTCTGGACTCTCTATTCTGTTCCATTGATCTATGTGTCTTTTTATGCCAACACCATGCTGTTTTGATTACTATGGCCTTATAGTACAGTTTGACATTAGGTAGCATGATTCCTCCAACTTTGTTGTTTCTCTGGATCACTGTTGCTATGTAGGGCCTTTTGTTCCTCCATAAAAATCTTTGAAGTATTTGTTCTAGTCTGTGAAATATGTCATTGGAATCCTGATAGGAATTGCATTGAATCTATAGATTGCTTTGGGTAGTATGGACATTTTAATGATGTTAATTCTTCCTATCCAGAAACACAGTATGTGCATCCACTTACTTGTACCTTCTTCAGTTTTTCTTCAGTGTCATATAATTTTCTATGTACAGGTCTTTTACACCCTTAGGTAGGGTTATTCCTAGGTATTTTACTCTCTTTGAAGCATTTGTCAATGTGATTGTTTTTCTTAATTTCTTTTTCTGTTAGTTCATTATTGTCATATAAAAATGCAACTGATTTCCAGATATTAATTTTGTATCCTGCTACTGTCCGAAATTCATTTATCAGTTCTAGTAGTTTTTTGGTGGAATATTTGGGGTTCTCTATGTACAGTATCATGTCATCTGCAAATAATGACAGTGTTACTTCTTCCTTTCCAATTTGGATGCCTTTTATTTCTTCTTCTTGTCTGGTTGCTGTGGCTAGGACTTCCAGTACTATGTCAAATAAGAATAGTGAAGTTGGACATCCCTGTCTTGTTCCCAGTCTTAAAGGGAATCCTTGTAGTTTTTGTCCTTCATCAAAAAGGAATGTTGCAGGCAGTGGGTTTGTCATTTATGACCTTTATTATGTTGAGGTATGTTCCCTCTATTCCCACTTTGCTGAGAGTCTTTATCATGAATGGGTGTTGGATTTTATCAAATGCTTTTAATACATCTATTGATATGATCATATGGTTTTTATCCTTCATTTTGTTTATGTGGTGAATGACATTTATTGATTTGCAGATGTTGCACCAACCTTGCATTCCTGTAATAAATCCCATTTGATTATGGTGTATAATACTTTTGATGCATTGTCACATTCAGTTTGCTAGTATTATTTTTTTATTTGGGAATTTTAGCATCTATGTTCATCAGGGATATTAGCCTATAGTTTTCTTTCTTTGTGGTGTCTTTATCTGGTTTGGGGGTTAGGATATTGCTTGCCTCATAAAATGCATGTGGGAGCCTTCCCTCCTCTTGAATTTTATAAAATAGTTTGAGAAGGAGAAGTGTAAGTTCTTCTCAGAATGTTTGGTGAAATTCACCTGTGAAGCCATCTGGTCCAGGGCCTTTGTTTGTTGGGAGTTTTTTTATTACTACTTCAATTTCACTGGTTGTGATCTATCTGTTCAGGTTCTCTGATTTTTCCTGATTTAGTTTTGGAAGATTATATATATCTAGGAATTTATCCATTTCATCTGGGTTATCCAGTTTGTTGATATACAGTTGTTCATAATATTTTCTCACAATCTTTGTATTCCCTTGGTGTTGTCATTTCTCCTTTTTCGATTCTGATTTTATTTGGATCCTTTCTCTTTTTTCCTCAATGAGTCTGGTTAATGTTTGTCAATCTTGTTTATCTTTTCAAAGAACCAGCTCTTGGATTCATTGATCTTTTGTATTGTTTTTTTTCTTAGACTCTTTTTCATTTATTTCTGCTCTGATCTTTTATTATTTCCTTCCTTCTATTCACTTGGGGCTTTGACTGTTGTTCTTTTTCAATTACATGTAGTTATTACAATATTATTGACTATATTCCCTATGATGTACTTCACAATCCTGTGATCTATTTCATTTTTAAAATGCTGATTGCCAAGATAACCAAAGAAGGAACTTTTTGAAACTCAGAAATACTGAGAATTTGAGAAATGCTCTTTTACTAAATGTAACTGAGTACTTCTAAAATACTTGGGGGGAAAAATTTTTAAATTTCCATAAAAATAAATTCATATCCAGGAATTTGTAAATCTAATAAGGGCCAGTTCATTTGGGTTTTTGTGTGTTTGTTTTTTGTTTGTTTGTTTTAAAAAAGCTCTGGTTTATGTGTAAGAAAACCTCTTGGCAATGTTAATACACTATGGGATGAGGGTATATGATGTTGCTTTTTTCTGAAGATTTTTCAATTTGAGATTTAGATATATTATTAAGATACCATTTTTATAAGCCCCAGGAATTTCTTCTGCCCCTTAGTTTTTAATAGTAAATTTTAATTATAAATTGCATTTATCTTGTTTCAGGTACAATATTTAGATCATGGACTCACTGAGAAGATCCCGCAGTGCCATCTTTACCCTATTTTGCTATATCCTGACACACCCCAGTTTTGCATCCCTTGTCAGCTCTATCGTACTATACCTGTGAGTAAACAGTTATCTGTAGGATGATCTCTTTATTTTTTAATTATAATATATTGATTATGCTATTACAGTTGTCCCAATTTACTCCCTTTTCCCCCCTCTACCCAGCATTCCCTCAGCAATCCCCACACCATCTCCATGGGTCATACAGAGATTCTTTGGCTACTCCATTTCCTATACTGTATTTTATGTCCACATGGCTATTCTATAACTACCTATTTGTACTTAATCTTCTCACATCTTCACCACTTCCCATGCCCACCATCTCATCTGGCAACCATCTAAATGCTCTTCATATCCATGATTTAGTCTTTGTTCTTCTTGTTTGCTTAGTTTGTTTCTTAGAGTCAATTGTTGATAGATATATATTTATTGCCATTTTATTGTTCTAGTTTTCATCTTAAAGAAATCCCTTTAACATTTCATATAATAATGGCTTTATGATGAACTCCTTTAGTTTCTTCTATCTGAGAAGCTCTTTATCTGCCCTTTGATTCTAAATGATATTTTTGCCAGATAGAGTAAACTTGCCTGTAGGTACCTGCTTTTTGTTACTTTGAATATTTCTTACCAGTCCCTTCTAGCCTACAAAGTTTCTTTTGAGAAATTGTCTGATAGTCTTATGGGAACTCCACTATAGGTAACAAACTGCTTTTCTCTTGCTGCTTTTAAGATTCTCTCTTTATCTTTAACTTTTAGCATTTTAATTATGATGTGTCTTGGTGTGGGCCTCTTTGAATCCATTTTGTTTGAGGCTAACAGTGCTTCCTGGACTTGCATGTCTAATTTCCTTCCAAATTAGAGAAGTTTTCTTTTCATTCTTTTTTCTAATAGACTTCCAATTCCTTGCCCTTTCTCTTTTCCTCCTGGTACCCCTGTGATGCAAATGTTGGACCTCTTGAAGTTGTCCCAGAGGCTCCTTACATTATCCTCATTTGGGGGGTGGGGGTTTCTCTTTTCTTCTTGTTGTTCTGATTGATTGATTTTGCTTCTTATATTCCAAATCATTGGTTTGATTCTTGGCTTCATCCACTCTCCTGTTGTTTCCCTGTAAATTGTACTTGATTTCAATTAGTGTAACCTTTGTTTCTGACTGGATATCTTTTTATACTGTTGTGGTCCTAAGTTTTTTGACCATCCTTATAACCAGTGTTTTGAGCTCTGCATCTAAGAGATTGCTTATCTCCATTTTGTTAATTTTTTTTCTGGAGTTTCAGTCTGTTCTTTCATTTGGGGCATGTTTCTTTGTCTCCTCATTTTGGCATCCTCCCTGTGTTTGTTTCTATGTATTAGGTAGAGTTGCTGTGACTCCCTCTCTTGGTAGCATGGCCTAATGGGGTACAGTGGCATAGTGTCCCTTATCACCCAGGCTGAGTACTCAGGGTGTGCCCTTTGTATGGACTGAGTACAGCCTCCTCTTGTAGTTGAGCCTTGATTGCTTGTTGGCAGGTCAATGGGAGGGATTTACCCAGGCCAGTCAGCTACAAGGACAGGCTATGACCACTTACCACCAACCTCTGTTCTCCATGGAGGATCAGCTGTGCAGGGGCTGTGTCGTGGTGCTCAACAGGGTCTGTAGCCATCCACTGGATGCACAAGCCTTGGGGTTTCCAGGATGGTGCAGCCCCCACCTATGTTTTGCCTGGGGTCACCCTGCCTGAGCTATAAAGCAATCTTAGATACCTGCTACTTATGCTGGGCTTGGAGATTCCCAGGCAAATCCAAGCTGTGAATCTAGTCTGGTTGCTGTTAGTACAGGGCCAGCAACCCCTTAGTTAGGGGTATAGAGGCTGAGGGCTCACTGAGACTGGTTGTTGCTTGTTTGAGAGAATTTAGGAAGTTGTGAAGCATGAGCCAAGACCAGCCACTATTATGGAAAAGCAGCTTGGGTAGGCCTGTAAATTGGGTGGGACTGAGTCTCTTAGGATCTCCAGGACAGGTCAAACAGTGTTAGTTAGACTGATGGAGTCACATATGGCACCAGCTTGTCAGCTCTTTGGCTCCTTTTGGGGGATGGTTTAGAAAGGGGACAATGGCCTTTGCTTGACTTTATTCCAGACACTTCACTTACTCCCTGTATGCCATTGGTGCCTTTTAAGCTGCTGCCCTGGTGCTGAAGCCCAGAGGGAGTGAGTCTGATTAACTCATTTTGTGGGTTCTTTCAAAGGAACTGCTTAGGACTGCGGAAGTTTCTTCCACTGACTCAATCTCCACTGGTTTTTGCAGCCAGAAGTTATGGAGATGTATCTTCCTGGTACTGGAACCCTGAGTTGGGGGGCCTGCTGTGGGTCTGGGACTCCTCACTCCTGAGATACCCCTCTTGGATTTTTATCCAACACACTTGGGTGTAGCACCAGCCTGTTCCACATCAGCACCCCTCCTACCAGTCTGGATGATGTGTGGTTTCTTTAATTCCATAGTTGTCAGACTTCCATTCTCTTCAATTTCTGATGGTTCTGAGTGATGAGTGTTCTGCATTTTAGTTGTAATATTGATATGATTGTCAGATGATTAATTTTAAATACTGTTGTTAACAATTTTATGAAAATTCAAATGTAATAAAAATAATAAAATATTTAATATGACAGCCAAAGGGTCTTTATGAAGAAAACTACAGACTTCCACTGAAGGATGAAAAACATCTGAATAAATGAAGAGAATTAATATCTTCATAGATGCAAAGGCATAAGCTTATAAAAATTGTTCTTCATCAAATATAATTTCAGTAGATTTGAAACTAGAAATGAGATAAAGGACTGTATGTTAATTAGCTCTTGCTGCATATATAACAAACAAGCTGAGGCTCAGTGATTAAATTATCAGTAAACTTCATTTTAATTTCACAAAGATTCTATAACCACAGATTAGGTGGTTTGGTTCAGGGTTCCTGGTGGTTCTGCAGTCACAGTGTCACCAGAGGTGTAGTTATCATTCACACTCCGTCTGCAGGAAGCGGGAGGCCCCAGTTCCTTGTTCTCGGCATGTGAAACATAACAATCACTGTTCCCTAATAAACACATTTTGTAGACATTGTAATACATATTGTACAAGCACCACATTGGCATTTTTAAAAAGTATTATCATGCTTTATTTTTAAGGCAGGCTTATTTTTTAAAGCATAAAATGCTTTAAGAGGTTATGATGGTGGGAAGCTCAGTCAAATACTAGTTTTTTAAGATAATTTCTATCGTACACCCAAGGTATTCTCTGAAAACTGCTTATATATTTTGTACTGTTCTCCAATAGTATGTGTTTGTGGCTACTTTTGCATATCTTCATTTGCTTCCTGAATTATTTTATGAAAGTATGAATGATTCTTATTTTATTCTTTTCAAATAGGTTGGGGGTATCTGGCAACCAGATGCAATAGAACTCCTTCAGGAACTGCTTTCAAAGAGAGAGGTGGAAATTCATGTTATGGTAATTTGTACTTAAAGCATATATCATTGATTTAAATTGTTTGCCATAAAGTGTTACAGGTAACATAATTTGAGGCGTATTTGTTATGATGAATCATGTTCCTATGTTACTGTAAATTACTTATTGATATAAAGAAGTTACCACTTTGGTTCCTAGGTTTATTTTAAAAGATTTTATTTACCTTTTTTTTTTAGAGAGAGAGAGAGGAGACAAACATCAGTGTGTGAGAGATACATGGATCTGTTGCCTCTTGCACTCCCCAACTAGGGACCTGGCCCACAACCCAGGCATGGGCTGTGACTGGGAATCGAACCAGTGACCTTTCAGTTTGCAAGCCAGTGCTCAATCTACTGAACCACACTAGCCAGGGCCCTGGCCTTATTTTAAATAAAGCCAAGCTTGAGCAAGTTTCTGAGAACTTTTATAAGCATTAAAGTCAGTAATTTGTAAGATTCTTTAACAACTTATTTAATAGCAGGGAGCAATATTAAAGAGTAAGAGGTATTTAAAAATGTGTTTGGTAGCCCTAGCCTGATAGCTCAGTTGGAGTGTTATTCCATGAACCAAAAGGTTGTGGATTCAATTCCTTGTCAGGGTACATACGTAGGTCATGGGTTTGATTCCCAGGCAGGGCACATGCCTGAGGTGTGGATTCAGTCTCTATGCAGAGAACATGATACTCAACTCATCAGTGTTTCTCTTTCCCTCTCTCCCTTCCTCCTCCGCTCCCTCTCCCCACTCTCTAAAATCAATAAACATATTCTAAGGCGAGGATTTAAATAAATAATTAAAAGTATGTGTGGTAGTTTTCAGAGCAGGCTGCACATGGAGCACTATACTAGTTGCAGGTAAAACCCTGTGCTCAAAGACCACCTCCAGTCAGGGAAACTAGATGCCAGACATAAGCCTCAGAGCTGTACACCATGAAGTAACTTGCCAAGAGTCTAGTGCCTGGTGAAATGCGTAAGTGCATAGGGACTTAGAGATAGTGAGAACTGAGGTAGTTCTTAAAGGAAAGATAGGAAAGTTCTGACCAGGGAAATGGAATGCACCAGGAGACAGAGAGAGACAAATGAGCATAGCATATTCTTTAAGAAATAGTATAACTGTTTGACTAGAATAACAGAGGTTTTGGGAGAAAAAAATAGTGGTGAATAGGATTTAAGAAAGTGGTCAGTCTGAGCAGTGAGTGAGTTAAGATTAATCTGCAGCTATGTTTGAGGATTCTAGTAGAAAAATACAAAACTGTAAGGGAAGTATTTCTCTGTGAAAGCGGTGATGGTGGGTGATAAAGACCTAAGAAGAGCCACAGACCTACATGAATGAGAACATAGAGAAGCCATTAATGTTGTTTGTGTTAGTACCCAGAGGCCCTCTGGTTACTCACAGCCTATGTGGGACATCACAGAAGTAAGGCAGGGATTCAGATTTTTTTAGTTTATCAAGGCAGCTTTCTCTGCTGATTAGCTTAACATAGGAGAACAACCTGTAGTATAGTAAGTCCTCAAACAAAATGAAAAGTTAAGTTTCTAGGCTTAACTGAAGGAGGACCTGCTATGTACCAAACACTGCTCAGTGTCTCAGGAACCATGGATTTGTATGTCCTGCAGCCCTACTGTCTACCAAACTTTCCCCAGGCCTGGAGGCACAGTAGTGAACTGAATAGTCAGAAATTCCTGCCTTCATGGAGCTTCCATTTTAGTGGTGCAGAACAAAATTAAAACATAAGGTATGTTAAGTAGTAACAATTTCTGGAAAGATAAAGCAGGAAAGTCTGACAGGGAGAGGTAAGGCCAGGGAGGAAGTCATTTTAAATAGAATGGTCAGGGATAACATGACTACAAAGGTTCAAGTAAAGACTTTAAAATGGTGAGAGAGCAAGAGTACCAGAAGAATAGCACAAAGGGCTCCAAGGCAGGAGCTTACCTAGACTATTCCTGTGCAGCCAAGGAGCATCTGTGGCAAGAGCAGAAGGATCAACACAGAGAAGAGGTGGGCAAAGAAGAAAACTTGTAAGAGATCTGCTGTTGGGCGGACCTGGAGTAAGAGAGTGGCATGATCTGACCTAACATTCTAGTGTTTTCATTCTGCCTGATAGAAACTGAATAGTAGAAAAAGATAGAAGCAGAGAGCTCTACTGGCAGGCCATTACAGAAACTCAGTAGAAACCTGGCTTTGGACTCAGGAGCTAAGGGAAGAGGATGAGACACATCAGCTGGTGAATATATGCCTGCTCAGTACCTGATCACAGTCGAGGGCCTGAAGAGCCATTAGTGTGACGCCTTCTAGACTGCTGTTAATCCTTCCATTTCTTCCATTCTTGAATTTATAACTAAATTCTGTTCTTTTTACCCCTGAAAAGAACTTTTCTTTCTCCTTCTACTTGGTATAATTATTAGTGTCATCTAAAAATGAAGTGTAGTGCCCTGGATGGTGTGGCTTAATGGATTGAGCACTGGCCTTTGAGCCAAAGGGTCGCTGGTTCAATTCCCAGTCAGGGCACATGCCTGGGTTGCAGGCCTGGTCCCCAGTGGGGGGTGTGCAAGAGGCAACCACACATTGATGTTTCTCTCCTTCTCTCTCTTTCTCCCATCCCCTCTCTCTAAAATAAATTTTAAAAACCTTTTTAAAAAACTTTAAAATAAATAAAAATGAGGTGTAGTAAATTATATATAGTAAATTATTTTTTAGTAGATAAGTATAACATTCTCTTATTGATATGTAAATATATTTTACAAAAACCAAAATAACATCATACTACCTCATAACCTGCCAAAGGACTATGAAGAAAATGTTATGAAATGAGTCACTGGTCAAACTGGTAATACTGTAATTTTCAGAAATCTTATTTTTACTGACTAAAATTTTAATCTTCAAAAAGACTTTATTTTGATAGTAATAATTCTTTTAATTAAACTGAAATAGGAATTACCTGTAAATCCATGGGAGAAATTATCTGTTCATCTCTATTTTGATGGAATGTCACTTTCTTATTTTATGGCACACCATAAATATTGTACTTTTGAACATTCTGAGGAGATACTGAAAGAAGTAAGTGAACTCTTTTTTTATAAAAATCTAAATTAGAGAAAAAATTCTGGTTAAAATTTTCTATGTTATCTTATACCTCAAGTCTTCAATATTATTCTACCTGTCTGATATGTTGAGAGATAAGAGAATTTGTAAATTTTTTTATTGAGAAAGTGATATGCTATAACATGCTTTATAGGTGTCCTATAAAAGACCAATTGCACTAAAATTCAGTTAATGTTTCTGTACCTTCAAACCTAGTGAGAAGCCCATATATTAGCCAGTATTGTTTGAATAGACAGATGTAAGTAATAAAATCTTACTAGAATTTACTGCCAGAAGAGGACTCTCAGATAAAATGATTTTACTTTTATTTGGCATTATACTATTACCCCCATTTTGCCTGCTTATAGGAAACTCAGAGCCATATTTTAAGCTTGGCTTCATTAAGTAGCCCAGTCCAATTGCTTGTTGCTTTTGTTTTTAATATTTTTAAAAACATAATTAGTCTATTATAGATATGGGCTCACGTTGCAAACTACCATAAATGCTATTTATCATAAATATTATATGATAAGTTACTTTTATTTCTATAGTTATAGTTCACTTTTCAGTTTTTTGTTTTTTTGGAAATACTCTATTTTTTTTTATTTTTTTAATCATTGTTCAAGTACAGTTTTCTCTCCTTTACTCCCATTCTATATATTTTTTAAATTTTATTTTAATCATTGTTCAAGTACAGTTTTCTCCCACTTACTCCCATTCCAGCCCACCCACCCAACCCTCCCCACTTCCCTCTCATTACCACCCTCCCCCTAGCTTTTGTCCATGTGTCCTTTAAATTTGTTCCTGTAAACCCTTCCCATTCTCCCCTAAAATTCCCTCGTCTCTCCCCTCTGGTCACTGTCAGTCTGTCCCCTATTTCAGTGACTTTGGTTATATTTTGCTTGTTTCTTTTTTTTGTTGTTTAGGTTCCTGTTAAAGGTGAGATCATATGGTATTTGTCTTTCACTGCCTGGCTTGTTTCACTTAGCATAATGCTTTCCAGCTCCATCCATGCTGTTGCAAAGGGTAGGAGCTCCTTCTTTCTTTCTGCTGCATAGAATTCCATTGTGTAAATGTACCATAGTTTTTTTGATCCATTCATTTACTGATGGGCATCTATGTTGCTTCCAGCACCTAGCTATTGTAAATTGTGCTGCTATGAACATCGGGGTGCAAAGGTTCTTTTGGATTGGTGTTTTAGTGTTCTTAGGATATAGTCCCAGCAGTGGAATTGCAGGGTCAAAAGGCAGATCCATTTTTAGTTTTCTGAGGAAGTTCCATACTGCTTTCTATAGTGGTTGTACCAGTCCGCAGTCCCACCAACAGTGCATTAGGGTCCCCTTTTCTCCACAGCCTCTCCAACACTTGTTGTTTGTTGCTTTGTTTATGATGGCCATTCTGCCTGGTGTGAAGTGGTATCTCATTGTGGTTTTAATTTACATCACTCTGATAGCTAGCGATATTGAACATTGTTTCATGTGTCTTCGGATCTTCTGTATGCCCTCCTTGGAGAAGTGTCTGTTCAAGTCCTTTGCCCATTTTTTAATTGGGTTGCTTGTCTTCTTAGAGTGGAGTCGTGTAAGTTCTTTATATATTTTGGAGATTAAACCCTTGTCTGAGGTATCACTGGCAAATATGTTTTCCCCCATTCTATATTTTTTAATTCTTTTTTTATTGTTGTTCATGTTCAATTTTCTGCCTTTCCCCCCTCTAACCTGACCCTAGCCCACTTGTCAGTTTTTTTAATATTCATTTTAGTGATAGAACAAAACCAAACATTGAATGTTTGATCAAATGTAGAAAACGGCTCTTCTCTCACATAGTATCTGTGATACTACTTAGCTTTGTCCATGTCACCCTCACTGCCACCTGTTTCCTTTAAGGAGTTGGATGTGCGCATGTACGTTTGTGCCCCCCCCTTGTGTTCCTCTAAAAGGTGTTTCCAATATCAAACAGGTTTTATAAAGATTATTTAGTTTCTTTTAGTGTTACACTGCATTGTTAACATTTAAAGGGGAAGGTAAGTGCTCCCACTCTCTTATATTAAACTAATTACTGTTGTTATATGTTTAGCATAATTTTAAGGATTTTTACTGTTGCAATATTCAGATTACTCAGGACATTAGATTTTCCCATAGTTAACCTAAAATACTTAAATGAATGCAAACAAGGACATGCACCCAACTTTTACAGAGATGAAATATGAAAGTGCCTTAAAAGTGATACTACATAAAGATGGTTTTATTCATTAATAATATTATATTTCAGAAACCAACAGATTACAGTAAAAAATATGAGGAAAGATGGGAAATAAGATTTGAGGTAAGTTCTATCCAGATATTTTGGAAATTTTGGACACTTTATCAATGCAGAGGACCTGATTCAAAATCAGGAAGTAAGCATTTTCTTTTATATCAGCTTCATCAAGGTGTAATTTACATATCATAAATTTCAACTTTTTAAAGTGTGCAATTCAGTAGTTTTTAGTATAGTCACTGAGTTATGCAGTCATCATGACTATCTAATTCCATATTCCATCACCCTAAAGAGAAGCCTCACCAACAGCAGTCACTTCCCATTCTCCCTTTCCCCAATCTGTGTCCTAGAAATTTTCTCTCTGCGGATTTCCCTATTCTGGACATTTCTCACAAATGGAATCACACAATACCAAGCCCTTTGTGTTAGCTTCTTTCCTTCAGCATAATATTTTCAAGGTTCATTCATGTTATAGTATGTGTCCTTTTCATGTCTGATTAATATTTCATTGAATAGACCACATTTTGTTTGCCCATTAATCTGTTGATGGACAGGTTATTTCCATCTTTTGCAATTGCAAGTAAAGCTACTATGAACATTCATGTGCATGTTTTTTGGTGGATGCCTATCTGCTTTCACTTCTCCTGGGTATGGACTTAGGAGTGGACACAGTACTGACTCTGTTTACCATTTTAGGGAACTCTCCAAGACTGTCTTCCAAAGGGTCTGGATCATTTTCCTTTCTACTGGGAATGTATAAGGGTTCTACTTTTTTTATACTCTTACCAACACTTATTACCTGACTTTTTTCTAACCATCCTAGGATAGGTGTGAAGTGTGGTTTCTCATTGTGGTTTTCATTTGTGTTTTCCTGATGATAGTGAGCTTATTTTCATGTGTTTTTGGCCATTTGTTTATTTTCCTTGGAGAAATTTCTGACACCAAATACAAAGGCAACAAAAACAAAATTAAACAAGACTGCATCCAACTAAAAAGCTTCTGCACAGCAAAAGAAACAACAAAGTGAAAAGGCAGCCTACTAAAAGAAAATATTTGCAGCTCACATACCTGATAAGGGGCTAATATCCCAAATATATAAAGAACTCATACAACTCAGTAGCCCCAAAAAATCATTTTAAAAATGTACAGAGAATCAAAATAGATATTTTTTTAAAAAAGACATATAAATGATGCCCTGGCTGGGTGGCTTAGTTGGTGGGAGCATCATCCCATATACAAAAACACTGCAGGTTTGATTCCCAGTTAGGACACATACCTAGGTTGTGGGTTTCATCACCAGTCAGGGTGCATATGGGAGGCAGCCAACCAGTGTTTCTCTCTGCCATCCTTACTCTCTCCCCAAAATCATTTTTTAAATGCCCTTGGGTGAGGATTAAAAAAAAAAAAGACATACAAATGGCCAACAGGTGCCTGAAAAGATCCTCAACATCACTAATCATAAAGGAAGTACAAATCTAAACCCCAATGAGATAATCACCTCTCCTTTTAGAATGGCTATCACCAAAAAGGCAAGAAACAACAAATGTTGGTGAGAACGCAGTGGAAAGGACACCCTCATGCACTGTTGGTAGGCCTGCAAGTTGGTGCAACCTCTATGGAAAACAGAATGGAGGTTCCTCAAAAAATTAAAAATACAACTAACTTATGATCCAGCAATTCCACCTCTAGACATATATCCAAAGAAACAAAAGCACAATCTTGAAAAGATACCTGCTACCTGTGTTCACTGAAGCATTATTTACAATAGCCAAGACATGGAAACAACCTGAGTGTCCATTGCCAGACAATTGGATAAAGAAGATGTGAGCTCCTACCCTTTGAGACAGCATGGATGAATCTGGAGAGCATTGTGCTAAGTGAAATAAGCCAGGCAGTGAAAGACAAATACCATAGGATCTCAACTATACATGGAACCTAATCAACAAAACAAACAAATGAGCAACATAGAACCAGAGACTTGGAAATAAAGAACGAACTGACAGTGACCAGAGTGAGTAGGGGCAAGCAAAGGAACACAAATAGAGGACTCGGGCACAGACAGTAGAGCTGGATTGACTGTGGGAGTCAGCAGGGGACATGATTGGGGTGATCAATGGAGAAAAAGGTGGGACAAATGTAACTGAACAACAAAAAAAGAAAATGTATAGATACACACATATACATATATATATGAGTGATATATATGTATATGTATATATTGAAATATTACTTAGACATTAAAGGGAGACCCTGCCATTTATGGCAACATTGATGGACCTTGAAGTCATGGTCTGAAATAAGCCAGAGAAAGATAAATATCATATAATCTCACTTATATGTGGAATCTAAAGAAACTGAGTTCATAGATAGAGAGAAAAGACTGGTGGCTGCCACAGGTGGGTGGGCTGGGTAGAGGTGGGGAAAATTAGTGAAGATGGTCAAAAGATACAAACTTCAGTTATAAGAGAATTAAGTCCTGAGGATGTAACATACAGCATGGTGACTAATGTCAACAACACTATATTATATATTTGATGGTTGCTAAGGGAATAAATCTTAAATATTTTGATCAGAAGGAAAAAGGTTTTCTAACTGTGTGAGGCAATTGACGTTAACTAGACTTACTGTAGTAATCATTTCACACAGTATGTACCTACATCAAATCATTATGCGGTATACATGGACTAACACAATGTTATATATCAATTATATCTCAGTAAAACTGAAGAAAAATAGAAAATAAAAATAAAGAAGAATGGAAAAAAAAGCCCTACCCCTTCTTAGCTGGGCTTTAGTTGGTGACTTCTGGTTTGTCCACCCTGTAATTTCCGATGTTTTTGTGGTTTTGCATATTTGGTATTGCAGGACTCTGAACAGATATGTGATTTGCAAATGTTTTCTTCCATTCCGTGGGTTGTCTTTTCACTTCCTTGGTGGTGTCCATCCATGGAAACACTAGAGTTTTTAATTGTAATGAGTCCAATTTATGTTATATTTTGTCACATGTGTGATTAGGTATGGGAAGAGTTTCAATAAATGAATTTTTCTCATAGGTAGAACTTCATTCCTATTATTATAAAAATAGATGTTTGTTCTGAAGTGAAACATAAGAAATCAGTAAAATTCAACAGTAGTGTAATCACTTTTTTGCTCAACTCTACTAAGTGGTTAAGATATGTTTTGATTTATCACCAGTTTAAAAATGTTAAATAGTAATAAATTAATCTACAAATTTGAATGTGATAATTTTACTTTGTATGCTAATTATTATGTTCAAGAATTTTTTTAACTTTCTAAAAGAAAAACCACCCACATTTTTATGTATATTTGCTATTAACAACTGCTAAGTGCTATAATCCTTTTGGGAATAATGTAACTTTTTATTCCTTATGCTTTTATAGAGCTTAAAAGAGAGCACTCTTTTTTTTAATGATGATTTTTAACTTACTTAAATCTTCTTTTGGGATTGCCTATATTTTTTTACTTTTTATTATAAAATACATACTTATTCTAATGTAATAATATCCATATAATAGGGATACCGAAAGGAGAAAAAGAAGAGCAAGGGATAGAAAACCTGTTTGAAAAAGTAATGATGGAAAATCTTCCCTAATTTGATGAAAGAAAAATCACACAAATCCAGGAAGCACAGAAGGTCCCAATCAAGACAAACCCAAAGAGGCCCACTCCAACACACATCATAATTGAAATGGCAAAATTCCATGACAGAGAGAATCTTAAAGGAATCTTAAAGGGAGAAACGAGAAGTAACATACAAGGAAGCCCCAATAAGGCTAGCAGCTGAATTCTCAATTGAAACGCTCCAAGCCAGAAGGGAATGGCAAGAAATATTCCAGGGGATGAAAAGCAAAGGTCTCTAACCAAGACACTCTATCCAGCATGTATCTCAATTAAAATGGAAGGCCAAATAAGGAGTTTCCCAGACAAAAAGAAGGCTCAAAGAATACACCTCCACCAAACCATCACTGCAAGATAAGCTAAAGGGACTGCATTAATGAAAGGAAGAAAAAGAGTGAGAGAAGGGGGGGGGGAACACAGGTATGAAGGAAGAAAAATGAAGTACCTATCAATAATAACCTTAAATGTACATGGATTAAATGCTCCAATCAAAAGATAGAATAGCTGAATGGATAAAAAATCATGACCCACACATATGCTGCCTACAAGAGACCCACCTCAGAACAAAAGACCTACACAGACTGAAAGTGAAGGGCTAGAAAAAAATATTCCAAGCACATGGACAAGAAAAAAAAGCTGAGGTAGGAGTTACTCATATCAGACAAAATAGACTTCAAAACAAGAGCCATAAAAAGAGACACAGACAGTCACTTCACAATACTCAAGGGAAGAATCCATCAAAAAGACATAAACATTATAAACGTATATGCACCCAACACAGAAGCACCCAAATACATAAGGAAAATTTTGGAGGACTTCAAAAAAGATATAGACAGCAACACACTTATACTAAGGGATTTTAACACCCCACTGTCAAAAATGGATAGATCTTCCTAACAAAATATCTACAGGGGTATTATAGCATTGAACAATACCCTAGATCAATGGACTTAATTTATATTTATATATATAAACACCTTTCATCCCAGAGAAGCAGAATACACATTCTTTTCAAATGCACATGGAACATTTTCAAAAATAGACCACATGATAGGACACAAAACAAGCCTCAACAAATTGAAGAAAACTGAAATCATAGAAAGCATCTTCTCAAATCACAAGGGCCTAAAACTAGAAAGCAACCTCAAGGAAAAAAACTCAAAAACTCAAATTCATGGAGATTGAATAGCATGCTAGTAAACAATGAATGGGTTAAGAATGAGATCAAGGAAGAAATCAAAAAGTTTTTGGAAACAAATGAAAATGAACTCACAACACTCCAAAACTTATGGGACACAGTGAAGGCAGTCCTGAGAGGGAAGCTCATAGAGATACAGGCCTACCAAAAAAAAGATAGAAACATTTCAAATAAACAACTTAACCCTACATCTACAGGAACTGGAGGAACAACAACAAAGAGAGCCCAGAGCGAGGAGAAGGAAAGAAAGAACCAAGATCAGAGCAGAATTGAATGATATAGAGACTAAAAGAACAATTCTGAGGATCAATAAATCCAGGACTGCTTTTTGGAAACATAAACAAAATCAACAAACCTTCAAGCAGATTCATGAAGAAAAAAAGAGGACCCAAATAAACACAATCAGGTATGAAGCAGAAGAGATTACAATTGATACCACAGAAATACAAGGGTGTAAGAAACTACTATGAAGAACTATATGCCAAGAAATTTGAAAACCTAGGTGAAATGCACAAATTTCTAGAAAAATATAATCTTTCAAAACTGAATGAAAAAGAAGCCGAAAGCCTGAACAGACCAATAACAACTGACAACATTAAAGCAGTAATCAAAAAACTCCCAGCACACAAAAACCCTGGACAGGACAGATTCAGAGTAGAATTCTACAAAGCATTTAAGGAAGAGCTAACCTATATCCTTCACATACTTTTCCAAAATATCCAAGAAGACAGAAGACTCCCAGACTCCTTTTATGAAGCCAGCATCATCTTAATCCCCAAACCAGATAAAGACACAACAAAGAAAGAAAACTACAGACCCATATTGCTAATGAACATAGATGCTTAATATTGGCAAACCACATCCAGCAATACATTAAAAAGATCATACACCACAATCAAATGGGATTCATCCCAGGGATGAAATGATGGTACAATATTCACAAATCAATCAATGTAATACATAAACAAAAGAAAACACAAAAAATCAAATTATCATATCAAATGTGGAAGCATTTGATAAGATACAGCACCCATTTATGAGAAAAACACTCAGCAAAGTGGGAATAGAAGGAGAATCCCTCAACATAATAAAGGCCATATATGAGAGACCTACAGCCAACATTATACTCAATGGGCAAAAATGAAAAGCTTTCCTACTAAGGTCTTTTAGGAAAGACCTTAGTAGGAAATTTTTACTACTTAGCCACTTTTATTACTTAGTAGGAATATTTACTACTATTCAACACAGTATTGGAAGTCCTAGCCACAGCAATCAGACAAGAAAAAAATAAATGGCATTCAAATTGGAAAGGAGGAAACAAAACTGTCATTGTTTGCAGATGACATGATAGTGTACATAGAAAATCCTATAGACTCCACCAAAAACTACTCGACCTAATAAGTGAATTTGGCAAAACAGCAGGATACAAAGTCAATATCCAGGAATCAAAGGCATTTTTGTACACCAACAATAAAATATCAGAACCAGAAATTAGGGAAAAAATTTATTTGCAAGAGTAACAAGAAAAATAAAGAACCTAGGAATAAACCTAGCCAAGGAAGTAAAAGACCTGTACTCAGAAAACTATACAACACTGAAGAAAGAAGTTAAGGAAGACACAAACAAATGGAAGCATGTACCATGTTCATGGATTGGAAGAATTAACAACATCAAAATGTCCATACTTCCCAAAGCAATTTATAGATTCAATGAAATTCCTATTAAAGTACCAAGGACATATTTCACAGATATAGAACAAACATTTCAAAAATTTATATGGAACCATAAACGCCCCTGAACAGCTGCGGCAATTTTGAGAAAGAAGAACAAAGTAGGAGGGATCACAATACCTGATATCAAACTGTAGTTCAAGGCCACTGTAATCGAAACAGCCTGGTACTGGCATAAGAACGGGCACATAGATCAATGGAACACAACAGAGAGCCCAGAAATAAATCCAAGTCTCTATGGTCAATTAATATTTGGCAAAGGGGGAAGAAGCATAAAATGGGGTAAAAATAGCCTCTTCAACAAATGGTGTTGGGAGATCTGGACAACTACATGCAAAAAAAATGGTACGAACACCAACTTACACCATACACAAAAATAAATTCAAGGTGGATAAAAGACTTACATATAAGTCGTAACACCGTAAAAGTCCTAGAGGAAAACACTGGCAGGAAAATCTCAGACATTCCACACAGCAGCATCTTGAACAACAATTTTTAAAAATTTTTTAAAAATTCAAAAACAAGTGTCACAGGTTCGATTCCCAATCAGGGTACATGCCTGGGTTGCAGGCCAGGACCCCCAGCAACTGCACATTGATGTTTCTCTCTCTCTCTCTCTCTCTCTCTCTCTCTCTCTCTCTCTCTCTCTCTCTCTCTCTCTCTCCTTTCCTTCTCTAGAAATAAAATATTTTTAAAAAAATTTTTTTAATTTTTTTAAATTCAAAAACATACTTTTTCTAAAAATAAATGCTACAGAAATGTGGAAAGCAAAAAGTCCAAACCCCAGGGTCCTATTAGGCAGTGGCATTAATGTTAACTATTTATTAACCATTTCTGCAGAACATTGTGTATGTGCAGATATGTATATGTTAAAAGAAAATGTGGGGGGGGGGGTTTATACAAAATTTTTCATTGGGTGGGCAAAAGAATTCTAAAGATCTTTTGTTGTCATATTTTCCAATTTGTGGTATTCACTGTGTCAGAGAACTTGCTTTCTGCTAACTGAAAGCAAGTTGCACTGTCATGAATTTTGATAGTGTAGTGGATTTTTTTAGTAATCATTCTCAATTTGAATTTTTTGTGGTGTTTTAGGAATTGCTTTTGTCTGAAACAGAAACCCCTATCTTACCACCGTATTTGCCTTCACCTCTGCCTCCTCCAGGAGAACTCTATGCTGTTCAAGTTAAGCACGTGGTCTCGCCTAATGAGGTGTGTAATTTAATTTGCACGATTAGTTGTTTGTTAAAGACATAATATGCAATCTTGGTCTTTAACTCTTAAGAGTCTTCTCCTTTTCTTCTTACTGACTTCAAATAATTGAGCTTGGTGATTGCCAGTTTGTCCACACAGCAATTTCCTGTTCAGACATTTGTTGATGCTTAAGAAGTCAAGTATTTCTTAAACTGGCTGGTTTTCCCAGTCTTGTGTTGCTGTAGTTATACCAGACATTTAGATTTTTAATCTGTACCTATTTTAAACTATGAAGTCTTCAACATCTCACTCCCCTGTCCTCTTTCTAGAGGAAGTCTAGATGCTCTGTACCAGTTTTTCTGTACCAGTGATCACCTTCTGATGCCTTCTCCATTTTCTTACAATGTTTGTCTGCTTTTCCCTACCAGACTGTCACTCCACGAAGACAGGGACTTTTGTCTGTTTTGGCCATTGGTATCCCCGGAACCTAGAATACTGCCTGATACATAATAGGCACTCAATAAATATGAATTGAATTTAATAAGTACACTAACGAAAAAGTCTTTAGCCAACAAAAAAGGAAGCAATGACAATGAAGTAAAAGAGTCCCTTCAGCCAGTTTGCACAGTAAACTCTTTCCTTCACTGGCAAGGAAAGAATTTGCTCTTCAGTTTCATCAGAGAGCATAGGGGTATACTACTGTTGGGTTTTATAATGGTTTTTTGTATTAGTTATTTATTGCTGCCTAACAGAATACCCCAAATATAGCAGCTGAAAACAACACAAATGAGAGTGAGGAATTAGAAGCTCCTTAATTCAGTACTGGCTCAGGACCTCTCAAGGTCACAATGAAGGTGTTGGGGTGAGGGGAAGGCATTGCAGGATGCACTTTCAAAAAGACTCACACGATGCTGTCTGGGGACTCAGTGCCTTGTCCTATGGGCCTCTCCATTGACTGGATGACAGCACAGCTTTCCCTGGGAAAGCAGTGATGCCAGCAAGACAGAGAGGCATCATGTCACATTCTTTTGGTCATGAAGATCAACTCCAATATGATGTGGGAGAGGAACTTTACAAGGAATCATTGGGGCCATTGTTGGAGACTGTCTACTACGGTGATTTTTGTCTGTATAAATGAATACTAAAATAATTTGAAAGTTTTCCCTTGCTTTCCCCCCACTTAGGTATATATTTGCCTTGATTCTGTAGAAAAGTGTAATCTCTGTAACCAGCATAGTGATACAGATGGCAGTGGAGTCAGCTGGGAATCTGAGTCTGAGAGCCTCAGTGAAGCTCTGCAGAGGCTCAACACTAATGTGGAGACTCTCCTGCCTCTGACGGACTTCAGAACAGGTAGCCCACACTTTCTGAGTACCCTGGAATTCCTAGTGAAACTTGTTCTGTTTGAATGGACTAACGAGGTTGGTGATTTCTAATGTTATCACTCTCTCTGGATTTGCTCATTTCTCAACTTTCAAGATGCTATAGATGACTTTCCCCATTTTCTAAGTCATCTAAGAGAAGGTAAGTACTGCATCGGGGCAGTTCGATTTTCCAGAACTTGAGTCCATTGGAAAATTGCATGAAGATGTTTTGTCTAAGCTTGAGGTTTTGTGACTCGCTCAAATTTTGAGAGTTGTGACTGAGACCCAAATGGCAGTCATTTTAATTGCAAGCCATTGCAATTAATTGATGATTTTAGAGTTGGGGGCATGGGAACCCAGGTCAGACTCTGCTTTTTTCTTTATAATTTATTCTTATCCATATTTATTAAATATATGTGATTCTCCTGTGAGGAGAGTACACAAGTACAGGTGTCAACAATTCCTGATACTGAGTACGTCTCTGCATTTCTGTCCATGTATGATATAGAGATGTGTTTAGTCTGTTTTGTACATAGAGGATGTGCCAAAGCAAAGGACATCTGGCCTGATGTACCTAAGTTTACTCAATGAGAATTTTATCACTTGTGACCCATGTTTGGCTGATAAATAGCCCTTGCAGTTCCCTCTGCCTGGAATGTTCTCCCAGCCTGTGAGCAGTTTAGGTCTCTGCCCAACTCTTCCCCTATTGCAGGTCTACCCTGACACCCTATGTGAGTGGCACTACCACCTTCCCTACCCCATCACACTCCATGCCACCTCCTCTCCTTTGTTAAATAGGGACTCCCAGTACTGCTGTGTCATCAGCAATCAGGGTATCTTGCACAAGCAGGTGCTCATAAATATCTGTTGAATGAAAGAATAAATTCATTGTGATTTTTTTGGTAAACTTAGATTTATAATCTGGAAAAAAACAATTCTTCCTCGTATTTCTTGTCTCAAGGGAAGTCAAACCAACCATCTGTGTGACATTCTGATTCATGGAGCTGTACACACGTTTGTGACTTCTTCTATAGGTCCTTGGTTCCTCAGTGCACATATGTACAAGTTGATTCATAGGCAAGTGCCTATTAAAGACATACATTTGAATAAGTACTTTATGTTAAAGAATTGATTTGTGGATTTAAAATGACAACTAGGTGGGTTTTTTCAGTGCTATTTTGAGATGTCACTCAGCCATGTTTTTGAGGCTGGAAATAGTAAAGGTTAAAGGGGATTGTTAACCATGATTCAGGCAGTTGTTTACTATGCAGACAGATGAGATTCTTACTGTTCTATTGATAACCTCCATATACTGAAATTAACTTTGATAAAAATTGTTTTTTAAAAATCTGAACATTAGAGTATGAAGTATTTAAATGCCACTTGCCCACAACTACTTTTCTTTATAGAAACTTTGTAGAAGAGAATAAAGGGAGGGGCAGGAGTAGAGCAAGATAGGAACCTAAGGTGTATTCTGTCTGCTCTGCAATCTGAGAGTGTATGAAGAAGGGGAAGCATGTAGTTATACTCATTGTTCTTCAACTCTACTCAAGCCTGGCATGCATTTACACACTTTTTACTGAGCAAAGGCTTATACCAGGTACCTGGTGGGATTGTGTGAGTAGTGGGGAAGCAGAGAAGGGACATGTGCATAAGTCCAGTGTGAGAAGAAGAGCTAATGCTAAAGCTATGTGCCTGGCACCATTGGGTCAGAGACCATGATAGGAGTTGGCTTTCTGAAGTCGCATCTGAGCTGATCTTTGAAAGAAGAGATGTTTATCATAAAAAAAGGGCATGGGGCACAGTCCAGATGATGGAACAGCTATGCACTGAAGTAACTGTGTTCAGGTAGCACACTGAGGGTTGTGGTAGGAGTTGGCGGGGAGTGGATTATGAACCCTGGAAAACAAATTTCTCAGGACTTGATATTGCAGGTAGTTAAGGTGCCATTGAATTTTAAACAAGAAAGTGTAATTGAAATTTTTATTTAATTCTAATGGCTTTATAGAGAATGTACTGGTGGAGGACAAGCTCAAAAACAGGAATAGAAAATGTTTTATTATTCTCTGCAGAAAATGGTCCAAATGAAGAGATTTAGGGAATACAGAGCCAGGGGGCTGTGGAAGGGTGACACAGACCTGGGCAACAGCAAGACAGAGCCATGAGCATGCCTTTCTTTAGAGTTTATGAAGTCTAAACCAGGGGTGTCAACTCATTTTCACCAGGGGCCACATCAGCCTCCCAGTTGCCTTCAAAGGGCCGAATGTAATTTTAGAACTGTACAAATGTAACTACTTCTTAACAGTTAAGTGAGAGCTTGGTGCTACCACCAGGTAGAAACAAGGTGCCGGGCCAGATAAAACAAGGTGGAGGGTGGGATTTGGCCTGTAGGCCTTGTGTTTGCCACCTGTAGTCTAAACAGAAAAGAGCACAAGCCAACATATGGCTAACTGCTGAGTGTTTAATTCTGAGTAATGGCTATGTTGTGATTACATTTTCTCTGTACTTTACTGTGTTTTAAAAAACTATTAACAAAATAAAAGGCAATGTGATTTTTTCTCTTTTTCTGTCTCTCCAGAAATGCCTTGCCTTGCAGAATACAATGATAGATTATGGTATAGAGCAAAGATTGTTTCCATTAAAGAATTTAACCCGGTAGCCATCCTGGTTCAATTTGTGGATTACGGGTCAACTGAAAAGCTGACAATAAACAGGTTTTTAACAAAGTCAACTTACCTGAATTAGGATTCTTAGTTTTGTTTGTAATAATTATTAGGAATATTTTGACTTTTCAAAGAAAATATTTTAAAGATGTTGATATACTGGGAATTTTTAATTAAGTTTTTCTTATTGTGTTAAAATACAGATAAAGCTTACTATTTTAGCCATTTTTAAGTATACAGTTATCAGTAATGGACATTAAATACATTCACAGTGTTGTGCAACCATTGCCACTGTCCACTTTCTGGACCTTTTCATAAATCCCAAGCAGAAACTCTGTATCCATTAAACAGTAACATTCCATTCCCCATTCCTTAGCTCCTGGTATCACACAGTGTGCTTCTTTAAGTATAATCATACAATATTTGTCCTTTACTGTCTGACTTAGTTTGTGTAATGTTATCATGGTTCATCCAATTGTTGCATGTATCAGAATCTCATCACTGTTGTGGGTAACACGTCATTTTATGTATAGACTACATTTCTACATTTCATTCATCTGTTGAAGGACACTCACGTTGTTTCCCTGTTGACTCCTGTGAATAATGCTGCAGTGAACATGCACAAGCAGTTGTTGGAGCCCATCTTTCAGTTGCTGGAGGTGCATCCCTGGTGTGGAAATGCTGAATCACACAGTAATTCTGTGTTTAACTTTCTGATGATTTTACATTTCCCACCAGCAATGAAAAGGGTTCCACTTTCTTCACATCCTTGCCAATAGTTATTTCAAGGGACGGAGGGTTTGGCTTGTTTTATTTGTAGTATCTTTTTATATTGTGGTACAATACCTGTCACAAAATATAGTCTTAACCATTTTTAAATGTACAGTGGTAGTGGTAATCCTACTTACATTGTTGTGCAACCAGTCTCCAGAAATTTTTTCATTTTGTAAAACTGAAACTCTGTACCCATTAAACAAAAATTCCCATCCCCGCTCATCCAGCCCCTGGCAGCCACCCCTCTCATCTGTATGAGTTTGACTGTTGTAGGTCTCTAATGTATTTGATTGTTGTGACGTAATTCACTGAGCATAATGATCTCAAAATGCATCCAAGTTGCACCTTGTGTCAAAATTGTGTTCCTTTTTAAGGCTGAACTGTATGTGCAGTACAATTTATATATCCATTCATCCACCAGTGGGCACTTGGATTGATTCCACCTTTTGCTCTTGTGAATAATGCTGCTGTGGGTGTACAGATAACTCCTTAAGGCCCGCTTTCCATTCTCTTGGTTACATGTGTACCCAGAAGTGCAATTGCTGGGTCATGTGCTCATTCTATTTTTAGTATTTGGAGGAACCACCAAACTGTTTTCCTTGGCAGCTGTACCATTTAAAAATTCCCACTAAGTGTACAAAGTTTCCAGTTTCTCTCCACATCCTCACCAGCATTTTGTGTATGTGTGTGTGTTTGTGATAATGGTCATTCTAATGGGTGTGAGATGGTGTCATTGTGGCTTTGGTTTGCATTTTCCTAGCTGAGAATCTTTTCATGTATGTTGGCCATTTATATATCTTCTTAGTAGAAGATACTATTTTTAACACACATTTTTTCTCTCATTCTGTAGGTTGCCTTTTCACTCTTGTTATGTCCTTTGCAGTTTTTAGTTTGATGTAGTGCAGTCACCGCCAAGAAATCATTGCCAAATCCAAAGTTTTGTTTTCCAGTTTTAGCTGTTAGAGAATTTTAATTGTAACATTCTGAACATTTTAATTTAAAAATTTCTTTTGTGACAGACTACGTCAGATTCCTCTTCACCTTATGCAGTATCCAGCCCAAGCCATAAAGGTTCTACTGGCAGGGTTTAAACCTCCCTTAAAAGATTTAGGAAAGACAAGAATACCATATTGTCCCAAGTGGAGTATGGAAGCATTGTGGGCTATGATAGACTGTCTTCAAGGAAAACAACTTTATGCTTCTTCCATGGTAAATATCTGGCTTAATTTTCCAGAATCCTTTTGAAGTTATTTGTAGAGTCCTATTAACTTTCTAAAATGCTTTCTGCCAATGCAACTCTACATGCAAACATGCTTCAACTAAAGTATATAAAGCTGTAAATACTATAGGATTAATTTTAAGACTTGTTAAAATGTCTTAGGTGATGTCTTGACTAAGATAAAAGTGATCAAGATAAGTCTTCTGTAATCAGAGAACTTACAAGTCAGTGAGGGAAACACGTAAACCACTAATTAAAGAGGGTAACTTTGGGGAGTGCAAGAAGCAGGAATGATGAGGATATTACATTTGATATTCCTTAGTAGGCACTCCAGCACTTACATTGAAGAAGTAGGACAGGGAAGTGACATTTGCTCTGCATTCTAGCAGATAAATAGGAAAGGCCAGAAGGGGGATTCTGGTCATAGAAAGGCTTGAATTACACTAATACCATACACTAATTTTGAATTGTTTAATGAAGAACATCTGTCAAGAAAGTTCAGGTGATGTTTGGTGTAAATGTACTTTCTTCTTTAGAGGTTAGCATGTCACAAAGGGGAGCCCACAGGCAGAATCCAGCCTGCATCCATATTTTATATAGTGCAGTGTTTTAAAATTGGAGAATTTTACTCCCCTAAAAGTCTGTACTTGTGAATTCTGATTAGGTTTATAAAATGCAGGAACCCTAGTTCTCCCTTCCGAACCCTTTCACTTGGAAATATTCTCTCCAATTCACCCCACCCTCACAGTGTTGTTTTAGCCCAACCTGTCCTGCTTTGGGGACCCAAGCCTTTAGGAGTCCTGGTGTATTGGCTGTGATAAGAATGAGCTCTTAATGAAACAATGCTGCTACTAGAAAGTGCTTTTTTGAAAACCTCTGTACCTCTCCAGCTCCTGTGTGTACAGAATGGTACAAATTGCTTCTGTCATTTTCTCTCAAGAAGCTCCTGAAAAGAGAATATAGGTAGGGCAAGTAAATGTTCTTAGACATACATGTTTACCTCTATGAGTAGCATTCAAAATTTGGTCAGTTTCTGCATAAAGGTATAATGCTTGTTGTGTAGAATGTAAATTAATTTTAACAAGGATGGTGGTGTTTAAAGCTTGTTGGCTATGTAGGAAAGCTTTGGAGAAGAGTTATGCTACGTGTTAAATAAAGTAGAAGGACGGAAAAAAACGTGCTTTATCAGGAAACCATTATATACCTTTTCAAAGTGCTGAGTATAAATTATAAATAAGTTTGAGAATGCTTTTTCTCTCCTGTCAGAGAGGTAGGAGGGAAAAGACAGCAAAGACATTATTGTGTTTTCTTTACAATTGTATCTTAATTTTAGGCTCAGGAACCAGAACAAATTGTGACATTATATGAAGATGAACAGTATCCAGTTCATATGTCATTAGTAGAAATGGGGCTTGCAGAACAAGATGAATGATGTAAGTGTCACTTCTTGTTTCCCCGTATAGCTGGCACAAAGCAGGTGACTAATGCCCATAAAAGCACCTTTGGACTTCCTTGATTTCTCAAAGAAGTGACATCAGAGGTCAACAAGAATCTTTCCTAGATTTCTTCATAGGCCCCTCAGCAGTGAAGGCCAGTATCAGAAGTTCTGTAAGTGTTAGAATGCTTGGAAAGGCTCTTGTGACCGTTCCTAGTAGTAGTTATGGGGGTAAAGAAAGCAGAAGAAAGGGGCCTCTATAAATAACTAAAGCACATTGTATGGAGTGCGTAAGCACTGCTGAATAATCAAGGTCCTAGTAACCAAGTTATCAAAGTACTTGGGTAATGAGCTTACTCTTTTATCCATTCACATAAAGTAACAAGTGATATAGGAACTAGATTGAACATTAAGAAAAGGTGTAAATAATTTTTGTTTTCCAGGTATACAGCCCAGAAGAAAGTTTTTTGTTGTATGCAGACCATTTCAGGCTTGTTTTTCTCAACTTGTTCTGCAGTAATGCTAGTCCCTTTTTTCCCCCTTACATATTGAACTGTTAGGAATTGTTTGAAAAATCATTAATAAATATTTGCTTTCAAATATTTTTGTTTTCCTGTAATTTTGAAATATTTTTGACTGATGGGGAAAACCTCATTTAATGTATATTCAGCTTAAGAAATACGGTATTATCAGTACAGTTTTAGGCACCTATAGTCCCTCTTCCCAAATCATTTTCTTACCTGTGGAGGTGAGCACTACTGTGAATTGGGTGTTTATCATTCTTACATAGGTCTTTGTAATTTTTTACTGTCTATGAATGTATCCATGTTGCTCTGTATATATTTAACTGTCACAGAGTTACCTTTAGCTTCCTATTTTATTTATACCGTTTATCTGTATTGGTATATTTTATTCACTTTCACTGTTACATTCATCTTTGCACATAATTTATTCTGTTGCTAAAATATTTTTGGATTGTTACCAGTTTTCTAGTATATATACTTACTAGTACAAGATCATGGGCAATTGCTTTACAAAAGGAGGTTTTACTAGCTTACTGCATCATCTGAGTTTCTTACCAACATGTGGTGCGGCTAGACCATTATTTGCAGTATATGGTACAAGTATAAAAAGGTAGCTCATTATAGTCACTTGTTTGCTCAGGTCCTTTGTCCATTTTACTGTTGTTTGCAACTATGTTACTGATTTATAGGATTTTTTATATATTCTTCATATTAATCCTTTGTCAGGTATATGTATCTTTTTCTAGTCTGTAGCTTATTACTCTTTTTTTTGTGACATGTTTAGACACATAGAAACTTCACTCATTTACCAACCTTTTAAGGTTTGAGCTTTCTATATTACATTAAAAATCCGACTTCCGGCAAGATGGAGGCATAGGTGGATGCACCGCACCTCCACACACAACCAAGATTGGAACAACAGCAATTTAGAGACAGAATAACACCCAGAACTGACAGAGAATTCATCTGAATGGAAGTCGGACAGCGAAGAAGTTGAAGTAGACCCATTCATCCAGACCGGTAGGAGCAGCGGAGAGCAGCAGCTGGGCGCGGGGTCTCGGCGTGAGGAGAACAGGGAGAACTGAGCGCATAAGGCAACTGGGAGTGTGTAAGGGATCTGGGGTGCACGAGATCGCAGCAGGTAAACCCTGAGTACGCAAGCGGCAGCTGGCGGACCCAGTGAGGCAGCAATTGTGGACCAGGGCAGAGCGCACAACCCAGGATCCCAGAGAAGGGACTGAGGTCCCAGGAGAACAGAGCTACTGCCATTGTTCCCCCCGGCCCCCGGCCCCACCCCCACATACAATGTCACAATCTAGCGACTGGGGTGCCCAGCCCTGGTGAACACCTAAGGCTCTGTCCCTCACTGTAACAGGAGTAACCAGACCAAAAAAAAAAGAGAGAGAGAGAGAGAGATGTCTCAAATAGAAGAACAGCTCAATCCCCCAGGACTCATCCTTTTGAGCAACCAAGAGATAGCCAATCTATCAGATGCACAGTTCAAAACACTGGTAATCAGGAAGCTCACAGAATTGGTTGATTTGGGGTGCAAATTAGATGAAAAAATGCAGGTTACCATAAAAGAGATGAAGGAAGATGCACGGAGAACCAATAGTGAAGGGAAGGAAACTGGGACTCAGAACAATACAGTGGACCAGAAGGAAGAAAAAAAACAACCAAACAGGAAAGAATGGAGAAATAAGAATCCAAAAAAACGAGGAGAAGCTTAGGGACCTCCAGGACATCTTTAAACATTCCAACATCCGAATTATAGGGGTACCAGAAGGGGAAGAGGAAAAGCAACAGATTGAACATGTATTTGAACAAATAATAAAGGAGAACTTCCCCATTCTGGCAAAGGAAATAGACTTCCAGGAAATCCAGGAAGCTCAAAGAGTCCCAAAGAAGTTGGACCCAAGAAGAAACACACCAAGGCACATCATCATTACATTAGCCAAGGTAAAAATGAAGGAGAGAATCCTAGAAACAGCAAGAGAAAATGAGACAGTTACCTACAAAGGAGTTCCCATCAGACTGTCAGCTGATTTCTCAAAAGAGATCTTATAAGCAAGAAGGGGCTGGAAAGAAGTATTCCAAGTCATGAAAGACAAGGACCTATATCCCAGATTGCTCTATCCAGCAAAGCTTTCATTTAGAATGGAAGGTCAGATAAAGTGCTTCTCAGATAAGGTCAAGTTAAAGGAGTTCATCATCACAAAGCCCTTATTTCATGAAATGTTAAAGGGACTTATCTAAGAAAAGAAGATAAAGAAAAAACATGTATAGTAAAAGGACAGCATAGTAAAAGGACAGCAAACTCACAATTATTAACAACCACACCTAAAGCAAAACCAAAAGAAACTAAGCAAACAACTAGAACAGGAACAGAACCACAGAAATGGAGATCACATGGAGGGTTAGCAACAGGAGGGTGGGAGGAGGATAGAGGGGGAAAAGGTACAGAGAATAAGTAGCATAGATTGTAGGTTGAAAATAGATAGGGGGAGGGTAAGAATAGTATGGGAAATGTAGCAGCTAAAGAACTTATAAGTATGACACATGGACATGACTAAAGGGGGGGGAAGTGGGTGGGACAGGGTGTACAGGGTGGAGGGGAGTGAAGGGGGGAAAATGGGACAACTGTATTAGCATAATCAATAAAATATATTTTTTAAAAAATCCTTCTCTATCCTGAGGTAACTCCTTATTTTCTTTGAAAAGTTTTACACTTCATATTCAGTTCTTAAACCATCTGAAATGAATACACTAAGCTTTTAAAAACAAATCAAGTCATTGCCAACACTATCGTTCCGCATGAAGTGACTAGACCCACCTATAATCACATAAATTTAGGTGTAGATGACTTGGTCTTCCTTCAAGAATATCCTTCTGTCACCCAGCCATCTCATAAATCATAACAGCCTAGCATCTGTGGCCAATCAGCTCTGCCTCTCCATTTTCAAGTGTCACACTTTGACCAGTGATTTAGAGCATCACCCTCATCATAACTACCTTCTCCTCACTCTCGAGTTTATCTATACTCATAGAATGAATAAGCTCTTCTGTTTTACCTTCTCATTCCATTACAGATAAAGAACTTCTGTAATACATAAAATGCTTCTGTCCTTATGCATTTCAAACATTATAAAATGCTATAAATTTTATTTTATATTCCAAGCATAATCTTTTCCATTTATACATATATACACACACAGAGTACATATATATTAAACCACACAGTCACAAGAAATGTATATTTGTTAAACAAGAAAATCAAGGTAGTGTTATTTCATGATTAGTCACACACAGGAGCATTACAACTTTGTATCCATTAGAACATTACCATCCTTGTCTTTAACTCTTACTCGACCAGATGTGTATTTTGTTTCTTGATGACCATTTGCATAGACTGTTTTAACAGTGCCATCTGGATACTCCCGTCTCTTGAACTGGGCAGTGTGTAGTTCTCTCTGGCCATTATTAAACTCTATGATTTTGCTGCCATCTCTGTAAATTTAAAACAGAATTTAATTTCTTGTTCTTTCCTGTGCACAAAACCTTCCACAGTATTGCTGCTATAGGAAGAGAATTCCAATTATCAGATTAGCACTTACATGTACCCATAAAAAAGCTTTCTTTTAAATAAACTGTTGCTTTCATCATCACAAAATGCTTAGGTTTTTCTGCTTTTTAAAATTTACATGTACTCTGCCTCAAAAAGCACTTAGGTACTATATGAAAATACGGCTTTCAGGTTTGACAGTTATTCTGTTCACAGAAACCACCTGAGTGCATGTTTGCATCAGCCTGAAGGAGGGAAGGAGAAGGACGAGACCAGATGGAGGCCAGTTCTGAAGCAGAATATGAAAAATAGTTAATACCAAGTTGACTGCTTGACCATGTATCTGAGACATTCACACTGGACCCAAAATACAGAGAGATAAGTGCAGATGAAGAAAGACTGGTCAGGAATTAATACCTGAAGATGGAGAGAGGAGTCTGTGGAGTTCTTCATATTTTTTCTACCTTTTATTATAGAAAACTTCAAACATTCAAAATACACTATACACATAAGGTTTTCCCCCAGTTGTGGAACAAACTGCTATTAAATAAGCACCAGATCAAGTTAAAAACAGTATCATGACCATAAGAAGTCACTACATTATTTGAATTCTGTTTCTACTTCCAAGTTTACATCATAGAATTCAAGTCAGTTTAATCTATCTGTGATATGTTAGCTGTATTCAAGTTAATGAGTGCTTAACTGTCAATCTGGGAGAGGAAGGTTAACAGATCTTCACCACGATTCGAATTAAAATGGTGATAAAAGATGCTCATTACTATGGACTGAAGAAGTCACTTAAAGAAGTTTCTAAGTTCTGGAACTAGGACACTCAAGAATAAAGAAAGGTTGATTTTAAAGAACAGGATCAGGGTGGCCAGAGGAAAAAGTGCTTACAAGTTGGACAGGGA